ACGTGTGCGAGAAAGCGCGCAATATATTTTCAAGCTTTTCATATATATTTTTCCTAATTTAACTGTAACTGAACTATTTCGAAAGTCAAGAAAGAGTTCAGAGCAACGCAGACTTTACTCAGTGTATTGCGAACCACGTAATATAACCAATAAGCCTAGCAAATTCAACAGTTTACTTCGGAGAAGCTTCAATGGCATCAATCCTTGAGGTATTCCACCCCCTCTAAGTGTAATGGTTCAGAGACAAGCTGGTCAGCGTCCCCGCACACTGACCAGCCACCCAGATGTATCGAGCTCATTAACCCGCAGCGGTTGGGCCCTTCCGTCCATGGAGTGGAACTGAAATTGGGCAATGCATTCAAATGCAGATAGGCACGCCATTTGGAGTAACTGACTAGTCTGCGCTATGTAACTTGGCCGGCCAGACCTGTCATCAAAAGTCGTTCCGGTGCCGTTCTGGAATATCTCATGACGCTGTAGTATACGCCACCAGCATATGCACTTTTATAAAACCCAATTTATGCACTTTAAAAACACATTTGACACCCGTGTCACCTTATCATAACCTCGAACTTTACAGCACTTTACCTGCGCTGGTTCAATCAGATTAGCTCTGTCCGAACATTCGACATCCCCTACCCATTCCCCACCAGGGAACGATACCTGGAATCAGGGAAAAAGGAAGCGCCACCCATCCTAGCGGGGGGCTCACCGTTAGACAATGGAATGATAGCCGAAAACAGTCGGCACCGTAATACGTATAATTATGGACCTTCCCCGGTACCAAGGCGCCCGATAGGAGACCTGTTTTTATGCGGCCTCCGTATTATCTTTTCTTGGGTTATTATGACCGTTTTTCGGCGGATTATAAATCGCGGCGACACCAGATGGCCAGGCATACTGCCAGCAATTATTGTCGGCGTCTGAAAAAAAAAAATCGCGGCAGGGTGGCGCCGGTGAGGAGGTTTTGGGGAGGAGGGAGGAGTAGCGTGAGCGTTGCGCCCTATTTTTAACTGTGAGGATTGGACGAAACGTCACTGACAGCGGGCATTGCTGTGCTTTATCGTGTGTAAAACAAAGCCGCAAGATAATTGTGTGCAGCCGGAAGGTCTAAATGAAACATACTGTAAGGATGGCAAAAAATATAATGCAAAATATCTCTGTTTTCCATTTATATTTTGCCTCTTAATCTTTACGGAAATGTTGAAGCGGCTTGAAACCCATATTGGAAGTGTTGGAAGAGCTTAAGGAAATGAGCGTTCACTATTAAACATGAATCAGATGTTTTTGTTTATAAAAACACGATACGAAATATAACCTCTCAGGGCTTAAAAACATAGGTGTCAACTATTTTAGAATCCTATAACATATTAAAATACCTTCAAAACACACATTAATCACTAATCAGTGCACCATCTGTCCCTTTGTCTGATCCGAAACGCGGAGTCGCACCCCTATACGAATCTCTGCGCTGAGGCCCAGTGTGTTTTTGCCGGCGGTGATTAGGACCAGGTCGGGCTCTTTTACCGCCTCAAGCAATGACGATCAGAGAACCCGACGACCAATGGTGGCAAACGTAACACAGGATGCTGCCGGTTTATGTGCGAACTTTGTGTCGAAGGGGTCGCCCGCACGACTGTAGTGTCACCTTCATTACACCTCTCCTCAGAAAGGGGGGGGGGGGCAGACAGCGGAGACATCGGGGATGGTGTCGCACCAAACGGTGGGCTACGTGGGCCGCGAGACGACGGTGCACATAACCCCCGTGCCTCACAACGAGCGGTGTCTCTCGATAGTTGCATGAGGTGAAAATGATGCCATGAGAAATCTGCCGCGAAGTGCACTAAAGGCAGTGAATTAACTAATCAAACAAAGTAAATCTTGTGTGAAAGCATATGCTTTTTTAAAGGTAGATGTTGGTGAGACAACGACAAAAAATTAACAATGTTTGGTCACTGTCGCGTATGCATTTGTCTCCAAAGTATATCACTGATTCTACGGTATCCAACTTGATATTTCCACAACGCATTTAAACAAAAGAGTGGAAAACTAAAAGGCAGAGTTGGTGGACGTCTCTGACATTCTCCCATCGCCAGCTCTTCTCATGCCGCCCTGGTGCCCACCCTGCAGACCCTCGGCGGTGGCGGCGGCGGGCCCATCAGACGCGGGCCTTGCGTGCCCGTGCACCACCGGCCGTTTACGACAGAACCAAGTCAGTCTCGGACGGCGGCCATTGGACGAGACCGAGCTCAGATTCGGACGCCATGCTGTCAGTCACGTGATCAGCCGCACGCAGAGGGGCTCAAAAAGGAGAGAGATGAAGGAGTCACAGCGTATGTAATTCCGACGAAAAAAAACACATGGACGGGAGTTCAGTGCTGACGTGAACGTTCGGCCACTCGGCATCATTTTGGGCTGCATATGTTGATGTTGGGCTGTTCAAAACTCATATCGTCCTATATAAAGTCGGGTTACTTTACTTAAACCTAGTCCCAATATCAAACGAATGAATTGAGGATATTTTTTGCTCATTCTTATAAATCATTTCCTTTGCTGAACCTTGTTACTCAGAGTGTTCAAAAGTTCAAAACCACCCTGTTCGAAATGATAAACACTCAAGCTTAGGCATTAGATAAGGACAGAATCACTAATTCATGATACTGCTGTTGACCCGTGCGGTGCTGAATGACTATTTTTTTCCGGATGTTCTGATCAGCCTAGAAATGGCGCAAAGTGCTGACGTTGCATAACGCGGGAGTATCGCACTTTTATCAATACACGACGGTTTGAAAAACTGTTGAATGCTCTCAAGTCGGCTCTGTTGGCTATGTAATATGTATGCTACTCTAATCGTCTCTGTGCAAGCATTTTCGCCCGTCCATCGATTACAACTGAGTCCCACTGCCTCTTTTCCCGTTTTCTTTTCCAGCGTTCCCATTCCTCTAGCTGGTGTTCCTCGGTTCTGTTGCCCATCGCGCTGCCTCGCCCCGCGCCATGATTCGTTTATATCCGTCTTCATTGGTCTGGGAGCATCTCTGGAAATACCATTGGCCCCCGCCATCGATCCTGGCTGAGACGGTAAGGGCGATCTTCCGTCTGGGAGATACGGCAACGTCGCCTCTATGGCGCTCGGTTGGTTGCCCCGTCGCATCGATGGCTCTAGAGACAAACACAGATGCTGAAACAGATTAGCAGAGGAGCAATGATTCTGTTTTCCTTCCTGGTGTGCTCAGAGAGGAATTGTGGAGTGCAGTGACCTTACTGAGCTGGATTTGTCGCCCCGACAGTGGCAGCAGCAGTAGCAGCAGCTCCAGCAATAACAGCAGCAGCTTCGGCAGACAGAAACGCTGTCATCGCAACTGCATAGACAACTGAAAGAATCAGTCGCTGGAAAGCTTTAACAGCAGATTACTAAAAGGACTTTCTTGGCTCCACAAAATATATATGGTTATGAGGTTCATCTTTATGTATATTTATTATTTTATCAAGCATAACTAGTGTAGGTGAAATTAAATCTTGAATAAAAGACGTTCCGTTTCTGCGTACGTTTTTTTATAGCTCATCACCAATGTTGAATCGTATTATTAGCGTAACTTTCATAATATTTTGAAGTGATGAATATATGATCAAGGAACATTCTCAAATCTCAGCCATACCTATAGCAAGGCATACCAATACCGATGTCAAGAAAAGAACTTAACAAGTCAAAAAACCCGAGTAAGATTAAAAAACGACAACCATCAAAAAGTACCTAGACCCTTTTTCAAAATATCTAGACATAGCATCCGCTGACTGACAGTCATAAAAACACACCAAATAAGATGCATGAATAGGTGCAAGCGTCTACCTAAGGAAGAAGGAGCGAATGAGCGATTTCGACTGCGTCATTTCCAAACCCAGTGGTAGGCACATTTACGCACGGCATCCCTTGATGTGCAATAGCGGAAGATGGATGGCGAACAAAAAGAGAGAAATCGGACTTAATCCACTTCTCTAAGCCGACAAATGTACTGGGTAGTGCCGTCTCAATTTTTCATTGGACAAGAGCTAAGATGGTGTGGAAAATGGTCGAATTTCATTAAGAAATGGCGTAATCACTATGAAGTGGCTACTTTTACTCGTAATTGATGTTCCAAGCATCATTTACTTTACTTTAACTTTGCAATAAGCTCTTTTTGATCCTCTTGTGACTAGGCTCCCCTCACGCCGCTCGGCCGGCAGTTTAAAGGTCGCTGGCAGGTGACACGTACCAATAAACAAACACGACTGCCCGGCGCTGGCAGCTTCACTGTGAGCAGGACGGCGGACAAAGTCAAGGCTGTCGCACAGCGCCGCCACCTGTGCCTCTGTCACCTCTCTTGGTGAGAACCAGTCTTCAGGCTATACTAGATGAAGAAAACAAGGTCTGGTGCCGGTCATTATTTCCAGCGGTCGGTCAATGCCCATCAGCGGTCAATATTCCACCTCGGCGATCAGGTCATCGGGAGTTCCCCATAAGAAGATGTCACCAGTTTCAATTTGCTCTCTGGAGCGCAAGATCACCGGCCGGTACTCCCTCTCGTGACCCAGGCCACCAGCCAGTAGTTCCTCTTAGCAGTCCAGGTCACCGGTCAATATTTCCTCTCGGTGGATCCAGGACAACCTCGCATCACCTGGCCTCCTCCCGGGACGAGCGGTATACAGACAGAGCGAGAGGAGAGAGTAGGAAAGAGTGTCAGAGCAGTCGATCAGACCACCCACCGCTGTATTGATCGCCGCATCTTGTGCGCCGCCTCAGGCGGACGCCGGCAGCCAATAGGACGTCTGGCTCGCCCCCGAATCAACAGCCCTCCATTGTGGATGCTTTGATACGTCGGCGGCGCCGCGTCGCTGCCCCGATATTACCCTGATATAAGAATGATCGTGCGCGCCGGCAGGCTGCGCGCCCTCTGATTGGTCGGCGGCCGCCGGATCGGCGTTTGATTGGCCGATTAGGCGGCGGCCGGCGGCCGAGCGGCGGCGGCCGCCTCAGTGTAGTCGCGGCCGTCGCGGCGGATGGTGGTCGAAGGTGGGTTGCGGCCGATTGGACTGGTGCCCGGCTCTGGCGGTATTTCTGAGTGGCGCAGCTGGGACTCAGGTGATGCACGGGTCGCCGCTGCTCATCAACCACGCTGCGGATATGGACGGCGGCAAGGAGGCGGGCGTAGAGACAGCCGTGGTGAGTACAGTGTTATAAATGAAAGGTCAGGGTGGTAGAAGCCTGTGGGGTAGTCACTGGTCACTCATGACAATATTTCTGAGGAAATGTTGCATGGGGTTGCAAAGGGGAGGGTAGTGCGGGAGACTGTCGTGAACGCTGATATAGTTAGACACTCAGTTGTTGTGGATCGATATAGGATCTCAGAGTACATTGATGGAACTGAAAGGGTGGCAGCATAAGCGTAACTTTATATCTCTTTGTGGGTGCTCAAGCACCCCCAATCCTGAGCTCAGCACCCCCTGCCTTCTTAAAGCACCCCCAGCCTCCTCAAAACATTCCCAGCTGACTCAAGGCCCTCAATAATCAGAATGTCCATCTCCTAGTACTGTAATGAGCCCAGTGAATCATGCAAATACTTTGCATACTCAATTCAGTGACTAAGAGAATATACATTGAATAAATCACCACAAATTAAGATGCATGATATTTGTGTTAACATTACATCTGATATTATCAGGGGCCCGGGAACGATTTTCAAGTTGGGGGGGGGGGCGAGCCTAAAATACCTGACATGATGCATATAAAACAGTGGCATAGCTAGGGGTGTAAGGGGACACGTTTCCCCTCCCCCCATCGGGTTCAAAGGGACCCTTGGGTCCGAGAGGCCCTGCGGCGCCATTTGACCGCTTAGGGTTAACGATGGCCATATTTCTACTCAGAAGGGCCCCGTGGGGCTCTTTAGAGCACCTCATGGGCCCTAAATAGCCACACTAAGGTCTCCATAAGGGCCCCACGCCGACTTCTGAGGGCCTCTTGCGGCTTTTAAGGACACCTCGGTGGTCTCCAAAGGCCCGTTAAGCCTGAAACAGACTCTTTCCGCAGTCAGGAAATCGCATGCGAGAGCCTATTCAAATACATGGAAGCACGCTCGCATCAATCGCACGCACCTCCCGCGAGCGATTGATGCGAGAGGAATTACAATGTTTTTGAATAGGCTCTCGCATGCGATTTCCTGAACGCGGAAAGAGTCTGCTTCAGCCTTTACTGGCCTCTGAGAGGTCTTACCGGCCAATGAGGGAAAGTTCTAGGGGCATTTCCCACCTGTGATGGTCCCACACTTATTTTTCTGAGGGCCCCATAACGGCAACTATGGGGCCCTTGTCGGTGCCTATGAGGGCCCACACCGGTGTCTCTGAGGGTTTCACACCCCCAACTCCGAGTGCCTACACCAGTGCCTATTAAAGCCCTATATCGGCGGCTCTGAGGACTCACCCAACACCTGCGCATCTAAAGGCCACCCACTGATGACTTGAGGGCCCCACAACGGTGACCCTGAGGGCCCCACCGGCGTCTGACAGTACCATGCCGGTCTCTTAGGACCCCGCAGGACTACTTCTGCCGGCCTAATAAGGACCCCTTGCCGGTCACTGAGACCCCCTGCCGGCTTGTGGAGAGTTCGCGTCAGCAGCTTTAAAGGCCCCACACCCGTCTGTAACGGCTCTACACCAGCGTCTATGAGGGCCCGGAGCAACGCCTGTAAGGACCCTCATCGGCGCCTCTGAGAGAATCACACTAGCACCTCTGATCGCCCACACCGGCACCTGCATGGCGGCCCCACACCGGTGCCTCCCTTACCGGCGGCTCTGAGGGCCCTACGCCGGTGATTCTGAGGGTGCCACCGATAACTGAAGGCACCACACAAGCCCTTAGTGTAGCTGAGCCTTAATCCCATACCGGCCCTCCGAGGGCGCCACGTCAGTGCACTCATTGCCCCACACCCCTCCCTCACACCTGGAGCGGGTAAACTGTGTTATACCTATAGCAACGATTTTACCACCGTTGTAGTTTGTACGTTATGTATTTCTCAAAGTTGACTCAAAATGGTCCAGTACAAAATCTGGCCTGCCAAACTTATGGCCAAGGTCAGGACCAAACACGTTTTGGGCAATCAGTCTCAGTCCATGACTCCATTCTTCGGCAACTACGGTGCAAGGCCGATACTGTAGAAACTTGCAATTTGTACCCTTGACCTGACCTTGACCTTGACCTCAAACTTTAAATTAAGTGCATGTTTTTAGTTATTCGTGATGAGATCTTTCGATTGGCCTTTGAATTTTCTAAATCGGACCAATAGTTCGGGAGATAACAGGGGGGTAAAATTTATCCCCCCAGCCCCGCGCGTTTGGCTGGAGAGTGGAGACCCCAGCCCCGCGCGGGTTAATGCATTGGGTGAGCCAAAATTGTTTTACAGTGGCGCTATTAAAACAAGCTCTCGTACCGATTTAACATCATTTCTTGCATGATGCCTGATGGCTACAGTAAAAAAGAACAGCTAAAAAAACTACAAAAACTATGGAATGCCTTTCTGAAAGCTACTGAGCACCTGTAGAATATCCAAGACAGTTAGGATAAATGATAACAATAACACGTCAAATGTATATTTAAACACACAAAGCTTTCGGTATGAAAATACCTTGATCACTGTGTTAACAGAAATGAGGACAGAAGACAGAATTTCTGTCCTCATTTCTGTTAACACAGTGATCAAGGTATTTTCATACCGAAAGCTTTGTGTGTTTAAATATACATTTGACGTGTTATTGTTATAATTTATCCTATTGAGCACCCCCAATGATTTTTGGAAAACTACACCCATGGGTGGCAGACTACGTCGGTGAGGCGGCCGTGGCCCGATGGCCTGACGGGTGAATGCACCGCACCCGCCTGTTGTGGTTTGGGGCGGGGCCGATGACGGGTTGGCTGGTGAACGCTATGGTTTTCCAATAGACAAACCATGGTGTAATATGTGTGACGCTCTGGAGTGAAACCATGTGTAAAGAAACGCTGCAGAGGTGGCTCTTGCGGCTCGAGGCAGTCCCCAGTGTTTGTGGAGCCCGGTCACTCGTGCATGACATATTGCTGATCATAGTAGGGAGGTAGGTGCCTTGTGCTAACTGATGCTGAAGACTGACCGATGCACAGTGGGGATTTTTCCGATCTAGCGCCTATTAATTCAAAAAATATTTTTTTGGATTTTTTTATCTTTTGTGTCAGTAGAGCTAAGAAATGTCTGAATTTTTCATATATGGCATTGTTTTATCTGTATGTCCACAGCAAAACTAGGAAAATGCTCCCAAAGTTCACACTCATGCGTGATTACTCAATGGGCTCAGCAAGGCCCGAAAGTATAGCTCAATATCATTGTCCTGTCCTGTTGGTTTTAATCTTGCGAGGTCTTAAAGTTGCATATCGTCTGAAAGGCACCTTTATTAAGAATGGAATGGCAAACAGAAAATATGCCACAACCTTACTAAGGTCACAAAAATGCCCTTTACAAAAACCCTTACAGACACCATATTGAAGGAATGGTATTCTAAATAAATGTAGGAAATCAACAATGTTCTCCACACTTTTCCACTCCGAAATATATCCTATCGAATTCGCCACTTTCTTCTGCACAAGACAACGCCTAGTTTGGCTGCCGAAACTTGCCTGAACACGGAATATTCACATTAGAGTATCTTAACACCCCACTCGAGGAGCGCTAGGGCAAACAGCACGATATAGGTATGTTCCGGACATAGGCGAATAATTTTACTTCGTGATTTATATGATGCATATTTTCTGAGACACATTCATTAGGAATAGGATGACAAGCGTAAATTATACATACCGTAACCTTATTAACCATCGCACTTGTGGGGAGGGGGAGGGGGAAGGGGTCGGATAAAACCCCATGGTTTTCCGCAAATTACTCGCGCAAAAAGCGGCCGATTGCGCCGAAACTTTCGGTACCCTCGAGATCATCAATTTTACATCTAACCTAAAAATTTCATGACTCTGACCCAACTGACCTTTGACCTGTGGCATATTTCTCGAGACCATGTTTGGCCGGAATCGCGATTCGGCGTATGCCAGCTCACATTATCCGTGGTTTCCAGTCTTTTTGTGGCTTTAAACGTTCAAATATGTGAAATGATGTTGGTGCCATGCATAATGGTGGGTGTCAAGGTCACGTGAAGGTCAAGTCAAGGTCATTGACCTTTTGATGACCTTGGCTCACTTTTTCGAGTTTTACTTGTTTCTAGGGTAGTTTTTGGTGCTGATTTCGATTTTAGCAGCCATTTGAATATTTACGAAGTAGTTCTAGTGCCTTCGTTCCATGTTACGAAGCTATCAGTAGTAGGTGACACTTCTATGGATGGCCGGCAGGACGCCTACTAATTGATCTAATCTGACCTGACCCGACCTGGCCTAAATGCATAAAGACATCGTCTGTGATCAAAACTAACATGAAATTCGTGATCAGCACCCCAAAATACCCCGTAACACCCTAACTTTGCGAAGTTTCAAGAGGTCTCGATTTCCCAACTTTAGTTGGGTCATTAAACTGACTTGGAAAGTCAGCTTATGACCTTGGACTTTGAAATTGGATATATTCGGCCTAATTTCGTCATAGGCAGCACGCTTGACTTTTCCGCGAAGCACTAGCTTGATCAGGGGCCAAACGGCTGAGCGGGGGGTCCAATTGAACCCCCTATACTATGTTGATTATGCACATTTACAGGTAAAATTCTCACCAGGACACACCAGCCAACATCTGTGCACAATCTGGCTACAATTCTACCTATGGTTTGCCCTCTACGAATAAATACGTGCTAGATCGGAAAAATCCCCACTGTGCGATGTGCTGACCGGTGTTGGAAGTGGAACTGCAGTGGTGGAAGATGTTGTAAGGAACAGCTTATATAAAGAACTGTGTACTTTGAGTTGCAACTTGCAATATTCACTGTTTGTTTTTTGGAAGTGGCTGTAGGACAGCAGCAATGATAAGCAACACTGATGCTGGTTAGGTAACCTGCTGTAAAATCAGCTGTGACCTCTAGCCGTGATGATGGCTGGAGTAAAGTTCGATTCAAAGCTGCAGCCACCCGGACCCTTGGCAGCCGTCTGCTGAAGCTGCTCTGAGGACCCCCGTCCGGTCCACCGCTTACAAATGGCCCGTCGCGACCGTTGACCCTCGTTTGGATGTGGAGAGGTGCAGCTGATATGGATGAGCCAATGTTGTTTGTGCGACACTCGGCTGGAGTATATCAGTGCTAACTCGGCACATAGGTCCGATGTCATGTCATAGCACACACTGAGTCACCCAATGACGTAAACACACAATCTGCGATAATGGTGAACAGATAACAGGTCCAGGCATACCCACAATGGTGCGAGGACATCCCAATGGATCCGCCTAAATGAGCGTTTTTCTAAACTTTTTGAGCCCTCCTCCGTTGAACGTGACCGCATGGTTACCTCTAGTCTGTGCCTCTGGTAATGTGTGTCAGATTTTATTGCTGCATACAACTAATTTGCCATTCTCTAAATTCGTATAACGCTTCACTGCCCAGGGCCCACATGATGCGGCATACCAAGAAGGGGGTCATTTCATTTTATATCAAGTGGCACTTTATACTATTTTTGAGCCTATTCTATATCTTAGAGGCATTTCCTAAAGGAGAATAGCTTCAGGATATAGTTTAGGATAAAGGTGCTGCTGCAAATTGAACCCGCCGGATCATGTTCTTCCTCCGTCTCTGTGACCGTGATGCTCCACCAACCCAATCAGTCCGCTCAGATCGTATTCGCAGCTTACTCGCGCAAATAAAGACCATCCACAGCAGGTAATATCTCCAGCGAAATTGGGCCAGATCATGTTAGCGGAAAAGCGCTAGCCAGCAGTGGACACCAATCATAAATGTGATTATATTTGGCTTGTGCGTGTAAGATTGCCGCTTGCCAATCAACTCTGAACCCTTGCGAGCATCGCAACCCGGATCTGTCGCCAAAGCAACGGCAGATGCTCTCTGGTCATCGAATAGATTCATCAATTGAAGATGAGGATCCTGTCAGACGAGAACTATTCAGAATTTTGCTATTTATGGACATCTATCTTCGCGGCCCTATGCTCTTTCCCTCGCCGCTCGGAAGATAATGGGTATATAAGAAAGGACATAATTATGTATCCCTATCCTTGCGATCAATCCCCTGGTCTCGCCTGATCCCGAAGAGCCCCGTCGTGCTGTCGCCCCCTCCCTCCCCATCCGCCCCCACCGCCTCCCTCCCCCACCCCGCCGCCCCCGCCTACCATCATGGCCGCCCTGGTTGTCGGATGGCCACCATGCCGACATCCGCTGCCCACAGCGCGCCCTTGAGGCGCCGTTAAGCCAATTTCGGCAATCATATATGCAATTAGAGAGCCGAGCACGACGGTGGCACCGTCTGCTGGGTGTCATTGACGGAGGGACGATTTGGGCGGCGGCGATGGGGGCGGCGCACGCACCCGCCGCCGATCAAATCGCCTCGGCCACCCCCGGCGGCCCCGAAATTGAGCGTAAAAACCCGCCGGTGGTTTCGAGAAGTTGTTAATCGCGGCCACATGGCGAGCTGTGAGCTGCTAGGGCTGGCAATGGTAGGTCGACAGCTGCAGATAGCTAGACGGACTGATCGATATGTAAATGTAGCTTGCAATGATTGCACGAGCTCTTCCGGAATCGAATGGCGCCCAGTGACTAGCGCTCGGGCTGACATGGCTGGGAGCTCGTTAGATGTGTCCAAAGATCGCACAGTAGTACCGGGCCAGCCACAGAGCACGGCAGTAGCCCTGTCCGCGGCGGACCGGCTTTGATCCACCCGGCTACCAAATGATGCAATTTCGGCGGCCGGCGCCCCCCGCCGGGCCACAATGCGTCGCCGTGCGGCCAAGGAGCGCCGGCCGATAATAGATCCCCTATCTGGGCGCGGATCGGCGTGTGCACCTTGTTAGCATTGGCCCGTGGACGGAGCGGCTTAGCGCGGACCGGCGCCGGACCAACCCCGGGTGTCACCGACGGTAGAGGCCCCGGACGGTCGGGCGTCCGGCAAATTATAGGGCAGTCGGGTTTAAATCACTCGGCCGACCCCAGGCTGAGGCACACGGGTCTCTGAACGCCCCCCCCCCCCCGCTGCCCCACCTATGCCCCTCTATATCCAGTGCCGCTGCCGAACGTCCGACAGGCCTGGGAAGTGGGAAGGTCACCTATGGTCAATGGACGGGGTCCCCGAGAACACTCCGCAAACTTGAGCAAGCTTTGGGAACACCGGACTGCACTGGTGCCATTGATTCGTTCCCAGTGTCACTCTGAGTGACAATATGTTCGACCATTTCCTGACAACCTGAGAATGAAAACACTTGCAACCAATCAGTCTATGTTCTGGAAGGAGTTTAACTGCTAATTCATCCACGTTCTCGAATCCAACAAGGTTTGCACGGTCTCTATCCCTCTCCTTCGCCATCTGTCTCTTTCCCTTCCTTTCTTTTTCTATGTTTCTATATCTCCCTTTCTCCTCTCAGCCCTCAGCCGAGCGCTTCTCTCTCATCCCAGTTGTCAGCACATCCTTCCCTCCATTTTAGTAGCACACACGGTGTTTGTGGTGAAGCGAGGAGGACCACAATTTCCTGCGATAAGCCTCCTCTGAGGATTATCCCAGCGGCTATTATGCCGCGTCACAGCCTCTTCAGGGAGCTGGGGGCGGCTCTTCAGATCTCGTTGTCTATCCGCCCCCTTTCAGAGGGTCCTGATCTCTGCCGATTGGCACTCTTTGGAAAATCACTCAACACTCGCCCTCGCGGCTTTCCATAGGTACTGACCCCGTGCTGGCTGTCTATCATGAATCTATGTGTGATTCAGAAGAACGATAACGAACTTGATTGTTTGCGTGGATAAAAAATAGTGATAGATTTAGGTAAATTGGGTGGTTATCAGGACACGGGCGCTTCAATCTTTATGGGATTGTCCACTGAAGAGATTTACGGTGAACAATCTATTCTGCCTTTGAAACTTTCACACTATCATATTCTGTGTTGTCACTGTTGATTGTTGTTAAAATCGTTTTCTTTTTCTCTAGCCCTCCCTCCAGCCCGAGTGGCCAGCCACACCTGCTCGTCAGACAATCGTCTCAGTTCGAACCAGATTCGACACCCGGTGTGAAGCACCCTGCCTCCGTTCACCTCACCAAGGAAACTGCCAAGCTTCTCAGGCATAATCTCCGAATCTCCCATTCCGAGACGCTCCTCATTCCGTCTCCGGCTCTAATTTTCGTCGTCCGTCGCGATGCGTGCGTAGATGAGCGGCGCCATTACCGATCCCTGAGGAACTCCATCCATCGACCGATCGCCGACGATCGTCCGACTAGGAACATAAATCGCCACCTTTCCTATTCAATTGTCAGCGTCGGCCGGAGCAGGCACAATTGTTCCGTAATTATTCCAGGGTCCGCTCCAAAGGTAGTGGACCAAGCTAGGGATTCGGGCGGTCAAGCGGGCTGGACAGCGTTAATTCAGAACTGGTTGGGACCGACTGGCTTTGTTCGGCTAACTTTGACTTTGTTTCCTAGTCGGCAGCCGCCCAGCCCAGACTCGTACCCGAAAACCTATTCATAAACTGGCGAGTACCGCTACCACCAGTCTTGTACGGAAGTGCCATTAACGTGCTTATATTTGGGCATTGTTTTTCTGTTTATTATAACCAAGCATTGAGTCAATGTCATCGATGTCTAGCGCTCAGTGAGCTTTACCATTGATAGTCGGTGCTGTGCTGCACGCCCAAGCCTTTGGTCGCCGCCCACGCTTCTTCATCCGAACTCTTGTTATAAACCGGCCGCTATAAACCGGAGCGTGCTGGTAGAACAAGCGACGTCCGCTCGTCGGCTGCCGACTCGGTCACGGCCAGGGGCTCTCGTGACCGAGCCGACACGGAATCCGTGCCGCGCCCGTGCGTCTGCCCGGTGGTGCCTCGCCTAGCCACGTTGGCTCTCAGGCGTCTGCTCGTCCACCTCCCCAGACCTGCCTGCCGCGCCTACCCGTCTGCTGGGCTGTGGGTGGGGTGCGTGGGAGGGGAGAGGGGAGGAGGGGAGGTTCACCGGCAGTGTGCGCTGTGACCTTTGACCCCTTCCTCGCCCGGTGCCGCCTCCCTGGCCCCCTACTGAGCCAACTGACGGGCTTCGCCACCCGCTCACTCACTCTCACCGCAGAATGCTAATTAATTGGATCATTCTATATTAATGAGATAGTTTTTCACCATTGAAGTTGGTGTCAACAGTTTGGGCGATGGAAGTTGAAGGGCGGTGGTTTGGGAAGGCTTGCTCTCGGAGCATTCGTTATGAACTCTTCTGCCACGCTCTAACCTGAATCCTCACCTGACCTCGGTGTGCTCTGTGCTTCAGAGTGGAGGTCTGAACAGCGCTGTGTGGGGAGCGGCGGCGCACTACCGGCAACTTCTGCAGCATCAGCATCAGCAGCTTCAGCAGCACACAGAGGATGACGTAAGTGGAAACAGAACAGAGATTCAGAAGAAAAGTCAATCAATCTAACTTATTGACTCGATAACGGATCACATTTGTTGCAGTCTTGTCGGTAGCTGGTCTCATTTCAACCATGGCGATTGGCTTTCAGAAGAACGGAACTTCGTCTGCCGTTTTTTTTTCTGAGACCCAGAACCCATGACGTCAACGCCTCTATCCGCAGAATTGGGAAGCTGAGATATGCGCTGCAGTTCCGCGCCGATTAATGAATTTGTCACACCGAAAACTACCGGGTTCATTTTGAAAACACCTGGCCGATATTTGCATATTCAGATTTCTTTCAGACCGCAAAGCCAGTGTCAATGCGGCAACACCTTCTCGCCCCAAAACGCACAAAGCGAGCCGTCGACAGGACCTTTTGATACATTTTTCAAGCATCTATATAATCCGCTGAGCAATAAATTCACCTCCTTTGGCTGAGAACGCGTGTCAGGCGGCCACGAAGGCCACAGAAGGGGCGAACTGCTGGAGAGCGGGCGCTGTTAGGCAGCAGCTGGTCTGCACAGTCCACATGGGACTAGCAACTGAGGGCTCGGTGGTGGGGACGAAGTTATGATTTTCGATAAAAATTTAAATTATAAAGTGGTGAATATATGATAAACCTGGAGTTATTAGCATATGGCATATCGACAAGAAAAAAAATACCAACATGTGATAGCTTATTTGATGATGAAGCATCTGTACTGCTGTTCGTTGTTTCCTATATAGTAACGTGACGTCTCCTCGTCCCCCTCACGTTATTCCAGAATCTACTGCCGTCACCATGTCATGGATGACGTCCTTCAACACATCCTTCTGCTCATCCTCAACATGTCACGCCTGGTCTCCTTCCGCCCCTGTCATCATTCGCCGCCCCGCGTCATCATTCGCTGCCCATGTCAGCGAGTCGCGCAGCTAACACCTCGACACTGGCGACTCAACGACCTACCGCCACTCTTCACCTCATAATCGGCCGAGTCGTTGTCACCAGTTCTGGCGCCTGTTCTGCGTGTCCCCAGTCACCCTGTCTGGCATCAGTCCGCCTATCTGGCAATCGACGCCTGCTGGCCAGTTTGTCAAAATCACTGCGCCAATCTGGCTTCCATCAAACTCCCCCCGGTCGCCCAGAATAGCCTTGGGCCGTTTCCACGCCTGCGGGAGCCGTGGGCCGGGGAGGGGCGAGAAACCACTCCCCTCCCCACGCCAGCGGGTGGTGGGGAGGGTGCTGGGTACCCCTCCCCTCTCCACACACAGCGGCTGACGTCGGCGCCTGCCGCCCCCCTGTGTACGACTTTGATGGTGCGTACAAATCGACGGCCCACGGCGCGATCGGGCGATATATAAATACACAAGACGGAAATAGCGACGACGGCGGCGGCGGCGCAGCCGGCGGAGGCCCTGGGGTGGGGCGTCGAAACCCCACCGGTGGGGCCTGCCGTCCCTCCCCTCTCGCGCCCACGTCTCGAGCCGCGGCGCCACCAAAAATACACCGGCCGAGAGGAGCGTAATCATTTATCAGGACGCACCCAGCTGGCGGCGGGCCTCCGCCTGCGAGCTGGCTTTTGTTCTTGGCAGAGAGCGGCAAACAGACAGCGGGCTGGCAGCGGAAAATGGCCGACACGGACAGATATCAGGGGATCGGAGCAGGAAAATTCGCTGCTAGGTAGCGGAGATGTAAAATATCATATTTTTTGTAGTCCTCAGGACGTTCTTTTTGTTATTATGACCTGTCCAGTGTCCAAAAGCAGATTGAGTCTGAAATTTCGTTTAGGTACCGACGGCCAGATATTTGTTTTTGAATAAAAACTTTTGCCATTTTCCTAACAATTTTTATAAAAGTTCTTAGATAAAAGACATTAAGGAGAAAATGTTTTCCTTTTTTAAGTAATTCTCTCGTTCCGCCTTGCCATGTGTCTCCCTCTGGCGGGGGCTCTCCCATCCCCACCCCTCCGATTGCGGCAGATGGGCCTCACCTGGCCCGTGACGCTGTCGGCTGCCCGTATTTCACACATTTCCTGCATATTTGAATTCAGATTGGGACTCGGCGGCGCGTGAGAATCTCATTGGAATATGCCGGCGTGTAGCCGATGTGACGAACGAGCTGTGACCAATCCAGCGAACGGGCGCAGCTCCGGGTATCACCGATCACCCCCTGCGCCCCGCATGGTAATGAGCTCCCGCGCGCGAGAAAAGGATTGTGGCAGACTCCTGAGGGCGGCTCTCACGGCAGCCCGACCGCCCACTAAATAACGACAAATAAATCAATTCAGCACGGCCCAAACTGCGCCGGAATGTCAACGAGATTCCGCCGGCCGGCCAGCGCCGCTGCCGATCCGATTTTCCCATGATGCGAGACACACGGTGGCTGCCGGCGGTCGTCCCGTACCTGAGGTGATTTTATTTCTTTATTGCCGCCCGCCGAGGCAGCTGACAAGACAGACGACGCCGATTAGCCGGTGAAATTTATAGACACGGGCGCGCTGTTTGATTGAATGAAGCGTACCTGTCGGACCTCCCGCGCCGCTGGAATGCGACGGCGAGACGGCGGCGCTGAGCCGGCCGACCGGCGGTGGCGGTGGCGGCGGACCGGCGAGCGTGTGGCAACTGGACCGGATGAGAATTAACCTAACGGGATGCGAGATGGATCGCTGAATAGAATTGAATAAACAGGGATGTATCGGCGGTGGCGTATTGTGCGCAGCGTGTTTACGAGCCCAGCCGAGCCACCTAACGGTTGTCAGGGCGATATTGCCGCCCTGCCTGCCACCGGCGACCTGGCCACTGACAATGGGTGATTGAATTTTACCGGCCAGCGACGCCGGAGAATGCCGCCATGGTCTGATGGATTGGTCAACAGGTAGATATAATCAAAATCATCAATTGATAAGACTATCTCCGTAAGTCAATTACTTTTTGACTTATCGTTATCACATTAGCCCTTCCTGATAAAATAAATGGCAAAATGCGTTCTTATCGTAACAAAAACTGTCATTCTGAATTCTAAAGAACTGTTGAGAACTCATACGTACTATGCAATGTGCACTGTGCACTGTGCAGGCATGAAACCAGTAGAATTTTGTCCTGTCAACTCAATTTTTCTATCATCTTGGTCGCTTCATTCGGACCGCGCCGGTCGCCGCGCTCGACCCGTATTCACACGCCTTTAGCATCCTGACACCAGCGACACCAGCAGCGTCACCTCCCAGCCCGAGATTAATGGCTGCCGCATCAGAAACAAACAAAACCGGCCAAGATTAATTCCGCGTGGCATTACTCAGCAGGCGCCTCCGTAGGCTCCGCCCCGAATTATCATCAGAGATGGAGCTGGCCCGCCATCTCGACAGTCATTACGGGCCGCGGCGCAGACGGTTGTTTATCGTCGACAGCGGCGCCCCCCGGCGGCCGACGCCGTGCGCGTGATGTGCCGCGATCGACGCGTCACGACCTGGCGCGGTGGTCCGGTCCGTGAGACGCACCGCGGGAGAGAAGGGTTCCTGGTCAGTGCTGAGATGACTGGGAGCCTGCGAGACGTCTGAGCTAGACGCGAGTCAGCAGCGAGCTACTGAGACTCTGCGGGTCACCCTGAGTTAGACTGACTCACTCCAAGTTTCAATGAGTTACTCTGGATCACTCCAAGTCGACTAAGCTGCTCCCAAATCACAAGAAGTCACCACCAGTGTCCAGTGACCAGCGACTCACTGGTACTGCGAGATGACTCGCATGGTATCACCGTGTCGTCCAACCGCAGTGAATCCATTGTCGAGTCTCGGCTCCCGCCCGTGGGCGTATACGTCCTGTGCAAGGAGGAGCCACTCACGGGACCACCGGAGGGGTAGCAGCGTTAGCGGATGTCGCCCAGCTGTAATCCTCACACAGAGCCGGATTACACCGGTTATATCCGCAGAACATGGTACAATCTTGATATGTGAGACGCCACTTGTAGGTCAGAGAGCATTAGTCGCTTGGAGTGACGCAATGGAGCTTCTTGACATGACCTCGCCTCCAGAGATCCCAGAATCGAAACGTTACCTTCGTATTGCATTGGGGTATAACTTGTCTAAAATATGTGGGCGTTTAAACTTCTCTCGTGATATGGCGGATTCTAAATGGAGTCTTGCAGTTCACTTTTCTTGTGTCCAGTTCTGTCATATCACCCACCCTCTGCGTAAGTACCCATGTCTGGAGGCTTCCCTGACCTGACGTCTTGAGACTTTCCCTTCACAACAGCGCACACCTCGCTGAGCAACATGCTCTCCTCCCGGCAGGGGAACATGTCTGACGGTGGCTCGGCAGGCTCAAGAGAGCACTCCCCGGCCCCACGCTCCGACCCAGAGCTTGAAGCGGAGACCAATGACGACTCCTGCAGCCAGGACGTGCTGGAGAAGCTGAAGCAGCAGGTGGCCAACGTGACGCACGTCAGGAGCAGGAAGGTGAGATGGGGTGTCAGGGAAGGTGGTGGACCTAGACGGGATATTTGACTTTGAGTGTCTTTTGGAGCTTCGTAGATGAGGGATCCCTGCATGAGGGACTGGAGGAACTCTTCTTTGTCGCTGGCGGCTTTCTTACTTTTATCCATGGAAGGGGAAGGCAATTTTTACGCATATTTGTGATGTTATATAGATGAATGACAATCAAATGTCAAATGAAATCGTGCCGTATCCCTCAGGATACCAATGATAACGAAGCGCCCGACTTTCGTCTGCGGGAGCCGGTTCAGCCTCGCGCGTCGGCCGATCCGTCGTCGCTGCCGCGTCACCGTCTGTCGCCGCAGTCGCTGCTGGCCGCCTCCATGGCCAGCAACCCGCCGTCACTGGTGCCGCTGCCCGGCCTCGGCGGTCTGGCTGGCTACGGCGGCGCTGCCGGCCGTGCCAGCAGCGCGTCGCCGCCGGCCCGCGAGGCGGCCAGCCCGCCGACCAGCTCGTCGGGCCACTCGCCTCGCCAGCCGGCCGCCGCCACCGGCACGGGGAACACGCAGGCACCGTGGAACTACGAGGAACAGTTCAAACAGGTCAGTCTAGCATGCACCACTGTGTTTGAAACCAGTCGTGTACCTTTCTGTTATTTAATTAAGTCATTTTAACAATCTGTGCATTCGTTTTATGTGTTCTTCGCGGCAGTGAATCTCACAGTTGGGCTATGAAGTGTGGCCGACACGGATAACCTCAGTGGTTCGAGCGGCTCAAAACCACTCAACATGTGGCCGCAATGCTCAGGGTCGGGTCAGGCCGGGTCAGGTCGGGTCGCCTGTCGTCATCCCGCCTCTCCTTCGGCCGGTGTGGGATGGGGATGATTAGAAGGGTCGTATTCGTGGAGTGAGAGGCTCATCTTGTTATCACTTGCACCTCCTTTCTCTTCATCACGCAGTCTAGACTCCGAACATTACAAAAGTCAGACACAACCGAAATTGGCGTTACTACGTGGTAGCCAATTCACAGACTCTTGAATGGCATTTATATGAAATAACTTGGTTGAAATAATTTGGACAATTTGAACCAATCCCCTTAACCCTGCTAGGATGATATTTCGATGAAGGCTCTATCGAATAACTTTTGTCATCTTGCACAGTACGCATGGATAGATGTACATTAGGCACTAGCCGGACTCGCATACATTACAGGAATTTGTCGTTGCCTTCGGTTGCCTTCACCCTCCCTCTTTTCCTCTCTAGTTTCCATCCCCCTCGACATGAAAGGCGCCGCGAACGGTTTGACTATTGTGGGTGGCGTGAATCGCGCCCCTGTGACCCTTTCCCCCACTGTCCGAGGGCACGGACAGGACACACTGGACACAGAAGGACACGTGGCCAGGGATTCCGCACGAGTGCACAGGAACTGAAGGGGGAAAGGGAGAGAGAGAGAGAGAGAGAGAGAGAGAGAGAGAGAGAGAGAGAGAGAGAGAGAGAGAGAGAGAGAGAGAGAGAGAGAGAGAGAGAGAGAGAGAGAGAGAGAGAGAGAGAGAGAGAGAGAGAGAGAGAGAGAGAGAGAGAGAGAGAGAGAGAGAGAGAGAGGAGAGAGAGAGAGAGAGAGAGAGAGAGAGAGAGAGAGAGAGAGAGAGAGAGAGAGAGAGAGGAGAGAGAGAGAGAGAGAGAGAGAGAGAGAGAGAGAGAGAGAGAGAGAGAGAGAGAGAGAGAGAGAGAGAGAGAGAGAGAGAGAGAGAGAGAGAGAGAGAGAGGAGAGAGAGAGAGAGAGAGAGAGAGAGAGAGAGAGAGAGAGAGAGAGAGAGAGAGAGAGAGATATTTCAGATTTCAGATTTATTTGGCGAAAGATCCACATTAACACACATGGTTTTTCACAATCGCACGTCAGCAATTCAAACGTTAAAAAACAGGAAGAGGTCGGCCAAAGCCAAAGTGGCCACACGGATGCACGTGACGATGTTTTTAAACACTCCTTATATTAAAAATATGCTGCTTTAGCTGGTGTTTGAATGACACACCTGGCTCGGTAACTGGGAGCTGGTTGAAAGCTTGCACAGCCCCATAGCACAGCCTGCGTCGTCCCGCTTCCGTTCGGATGCGTGGGAGAGCAAGTTCAGAGGCGCGTCGCGTATCATGAGCGTGTCTCTGTCTCGCCGTCTGACCGAGCGTGTCGGCTATTTCCTCGGGCTGACCACTGACAAGAACGCTGCGCAAACTACACACGCGGCAGTACATCGCCATCTCAGATGCAGTGAACCACCCCATATCATGGAATACATCGGAGATATGGTCCCGTTTTCGTTTCCCGGACACTACACGTGCACAGAAGTTCAGAATCTTCTGAACGCGGTGTAACTGGGTCTGGCCACAAGTCCCGTACACTGACATGCAATATCTCACGATTGATATAACAAGAGCTTGAACTATTGGCTTCAGCGCACGCCTTGGGATCACATGTCTCGCATGGCTCAGCGCAACGAGGACGCCGTTGCATTTACGTGTCATCTCGTCAATATGTGACTGGTAGGTCAGGTGTCTGTCGATGATGACGCCGAGGTTTTTCACTACTCTGCTGTCGTTTACAGCCGCTCCACAGAATTTCAGCTGAACGGCGGGCATATGTCGCAGCATAGCCGGCGTTCCAATCACGATCATCTGTGTTTTAGTCGCGTTCAACTTCATTCCATGAGAACAGTACCAGTGATATAAAGAGTCCAGTGCCTGCTCCATCGTCTCCACCATGCTATGAATGTCCTGCTTCTTACCCGTTACCAGGAGTTGTGTGTCGTCGGCGAACTGCACAACGGTCACAGATTCAGGTACGTACAGACTGAGGTCATTTGTGTACAGCGTGTACAATGCACAACTGAGCGACCCGCCCTGGTACACACCGATACTGTTTAGCTTTGTCTGTGAGAAACACACGCTTCCGTCACTGCGGCGTATCTGCACTTGTTGCGTATGGCCTGACAGATAGTTCGCAAACCATTTCGGGTTCACACCGGGTTCACACCGAGAGAGAGAGAGAGAGAGAGAGAGAGAGAGAGAGAGAGAGAGAGAGAGAGAGAGAGAGAGAGAGAGAGAGAGAGAGAGAGAGAGAGAGAGAGAGAGAGAGAGAGAGAGAGAGACTCAATTTCGCTGTGGCGTCGAAATCCATTTCAAATATAAAATTTCAAAATTATACCGAATCGGTATAACATGAGCACTGAGCAATCAGCCATAGACCTCTACATACCTGGACTGGACACTCGAATTTGGCGAATTGCATAGTGGCCCTAAAAGTAAAACGTTATATCTCGGGAACTAGGTCAGGTACGATGTTGGTATGTAGAGGTATATGAATCAGCAATCAGTAAAACATGAGCATTGAGCAATGTTATTTTTTTTCAATTCTGTTCAAGTGTTCAATGAGGCTCTCGCCTAATAGCCTCGGAATTAAGCCGCCCACAGATAATGACGCCACCCGAAGTAAAAGGCTAGCTCTGAGCTCAGAGATCAATTCATTGTTTAATGATCACTTGATATTCATAGATCGGACAAGAATGAGAGTCTACCATAGCATCGAAGCAGCGCTCAACATGAGCGGTAAATTCCGCCGCCGCCCCGCCTCCCTCCCCCTATCATCTTCCATTATGTGCGCCTCCTCCCTATTATCTTTTTCTTTGTTTTCCTTTCATCGGCTCCTCTATGCGGCGAGATTAATGATTCCGGCCATGTTTACATTTGCATGCTCTCGCTGAGGCCACTCTCCGGCGCTCCTCTGATGCCGGGTCGAATCGCGGAGCGCCTGGGAGAGCACCGGCAGTGACGTGGCTAAAGTTAGGGTGGGCAAACGGGTGGTAAGGGGGAAGGGCTTTGTTGGAAGAGTAGGTTATCGGTTATCCGATTGCTCATATTGCGTAATCTGGTTATCTTGAAACATACGTGAAACTAAAAACTTTTCCAGAAAGGTTATGCATTATATAGCAAACTTTGAATAAATTTAGATATGTTTGGACGCATTTTTCAATATGGATTATAGCAAACTAGCGGATATGTCATTTCATAGCAAACCCGTGGGCCCATCCCGCCATGGCCGCCGCCGCCGCCCAGCTCCTCCCCATCAGACGCACAGCCACAGTCGACACCGCCATCGCGGCACCCCTCGCTCTGCCGCGGTTGATTGGGCTTTTTGTTGGGCGCTGTCCGCTGCCGCGCGCGCGCCCGTGCACGCGCCTCCCCCGTGTCGCCCCTCCCGCGCCACACAAAAACGCGCGAGTGACGGCGCGTGCCGCGAAACAGACATTTTCCAGCAGCCGTCTGTGACGTCACGCTCAGCTGGCGCTACACCGGACCGGTTCCGTTTTTTGCACATTTAATATTATAGATAGTCACTGTTCTGCAACATCTCGCAGCTAATATGACCTGATATTCGTTGAAAATGATCTAAATGCTCTCAAAAGGAAAAAAAGGGTCTCATAATGACGAGCTTTATGCTGTGATCGTGACGGAAGCTGAATTCCTCGGTGCCATAATGTGCGGTAGTTGCTCATATACCAAGCGAGCATGTCATCGTAATTATCTGCGAAAACGGCGACTGTCAGGCAACGCTCGGCGGCGCGCCACGTCGTTCCGAGCCGGTCCGCCTCGCCGACAGCACGACTCTATTTGACTTACCCGGGCGCATGATATTCCCTGCTGCCTTCCGACCGCGTGGCTACTTGATTGGCCAAGCGCGAAATGCAATGAGCTACCGTTTTTCCCCGGAATGCATGAGCAGTGCGCGTGCAATAAGTGGAACGATTGCTATTCGCGGAAATATCAATCGGTCGTTCACCAGCAATACGGAAACGGTGAACTAAATACGAAATACCCAGTAGGCACCCATTGGTAAGTGTAACGTTCTATAAAATAATTTATTTCAATAAATTTAAAAACAAATAATGAGGAAAGCTACAATAGAAATGAGGAACAAATAGTGAAAATGAGGAAGATAAAAATGACAAAAATAATACCAAATTTTCACAAAGATATTCATTTATATGACAACAGCTCAGCCATTTCGCACAAAATCAGGTAATAGTTTATGCCCCTCTGTCCAATGTCCATGCACCAAATCAGCTCTGCCCTCTCAGCTGTCGATATTGTCGCAGCAGACTTCCGTTGGCCGGTTGCCCCTCTCCCAGTCCCCTGTCTACTCGACACCCCGTCCCGCTCGTCTCGGTGGTCCCCGGCCGCCGCAGTCATTAGGGCTTAAATTTAACCTCCCCATCGGCTCCCAATGGCATCGGCAACGACGCTGATTGATTTCCAGCCAGCTGTTGTTCCTCTCCAGGGCGATATTTCGCATGCCCGCGCCGTCTCCGGCGAGGGTGGAGACGAGGTGGGGGATAGGTGAAGGGATGAAGATCCAGCTGGGGAGAGATTCTGGTCACTGAAGGATATCGCCCCTCGACAGACGCGCCTCCAGACCGACGCGAAGCTCATCAGCGGCGGGGATACGGCGTCGCGGCCGACGCTGTCCCATATATAACCGCACAAGGCGCCGGGGGCCGCCCCTCGCGGTGGACAGGGGCGGGCGGGCAGAGGGGTGAATGGGCCGGTCAAGACGCCAACGGACGGTCGCCGATCGGAGCCAGTCGGCCCACAAAGAGAGCCCTCCCGACGGCAGCTGTGGTCAGCCCCATCGGAATGTGCACAAAGTCTTCAAAGTTCCGCCACGGGCGGGTGTGACGGTCCCGGCGGAAGGGGACGGGGACCACTGCGGACCGCGGCGGACCGCCGAGGACCATCGGCCCTGACCAGAGACCATATGCCGCTGCCGTGATATATTGACTAGAGCAGATTCAAACACCGCCGGAAATGGCCAGCTCTGTGGGGGCGATGCTGGAATTTTCGGCGTGCTGCGATTTGGATAAGGACCAGAAACGGGCAGGGAGGAGTCCTGCTTGACGCAAAACCGGAGCGTGTGCGTGGCACAAAAGTGGGATAAATCACAATCAGGAGCTGTGCGTTTATGATCCGTTCAACAGTGTTATTTATCCAGCCGACGCTGTCAGACGTGATTGGATAATGTCCAATTTCGGCGCTGAGTTAGGATGTGACTGTGATCGCTGCAGCGGTGCGAGCAATTTTAGCGGCCGTTCGCAGAAGATATGCTTCACATGCGTGTCAAAAATATATTAAAATATTGCTGAGCTAGAGCGGTGTCATCCGAAATATTCCCACAATGATCGTTGATTTAGTTCAGTTCATCAAGTTCAATGGAAGTTGTGTTATCATTCTGTATTTTAGCCACTTTTAAACCCACTTTTAACATATTATTCGCACATTACATGCTAAGGCGGTGAATTCGATAACGGAACACCAACTCATCGTTGAGTTTAGCTAAGTGGAACTCTCCAAATGTTGACTGGTGGTGGCTGTGGTTCCACATTGCTCGCTGTGGGAACCTCAACTGTCTACATGTCGACACCGCCCGATTCCTATCAAATTAATCGCCGTGTTTAGAAAGCAGAACTCGGATTCCCCGATTTATAACGGCCTAATTGCAGGGTTTCGGCAGTTTATGTTCGCGCTAATTACGCGCCCAAGCCACGAGCACTGTCCCGGTTAGCGTTCTTGGCGCAGATGTTGCAGCACAAGCTTTGACGCACATTTTATGACAGGAAACAGAGCACGCTGTTCGGGCTTAGAGGAACAATGAAGTGGGATTTTCACACCCCGTACACAACATTAGCTTCACCTATCTTAATCGCTACAGAGTTGGTTGCCTAGCAACGGACAGTGTGCTCCGAAATAAACCTTGATTATGGTCCGACACATGCTTCGCTGCAATGCTGCTGCGGACAAAATGGTTAACCGAGAACAGTCCGTCAAATTAAATAATTACCGACAGAAAAAAAACGAAGATAGACAAAAGACATACTATGACGTGTCATCCTTTTTCAATCACTCGGTCCTGCTATTGGCCTCTTGGCCGTGAGATGGCGGCACTAGTTACTCGTTAATAAATAATATTTCTTCTCCCAACGCATTCCCAAACTTCTAATAAAGCCTGTCCCATCATCATACAGATAGCGATACACACAGATTTACTCAAGATTAACGTTACAATCCCATTGAAAGATCACGTTTTAGTCCCACTGACTAGTATCCAAGCTGAAATTCGGACAAGGTGGATATTATAGATAAAGATTGACTCCGGCTTGCGCGACGGTATGTCAACACATAGGGGAGAGGCTTTGTGCCCTATTCCGAGCCCAACAAACGCCTTCGGTGTCGTTCTCTTCAATGCAACGCTCAGGTTATGTCATTTTTTAAGCACAGAAATGGCACTGTCAGTCGACATAACTATACATATCTAAATAGAAGCATTAGGACCATATAATGTCTTTTGACTCATAGACAAAGTTTCCCGTTAGAATTTAGAAGTCAAACATTGTTTCCGCTCCCGACACAGACATTTTCGAACAAATCAACTTTTTTGCCATTTCGCTTCCCTGGTATTGACGGTACCATCGGAAAACAGTCTAACCGGTCGCTCTGTTTCAGTCTCTGAGGAGAGGAGTAAACAGACAAAATTGACCTGCCTTCTTTGTGAGAGGTTCGCAAGAAGCAGCCAGTTGATTAAATCTTGCGCTTAGTATTGTGAGTTGTTCCCCGCTGCTTTGTCCCAGTTATCGGATTATTAGGCGGTGCTGTCTCTATTACCGTAAGAAAATTGAGTCAAACTGATGGCTTCCCCTGTACTCGTCCACTAACTACACCCCAATTGAATTGTTCCTAACCGAAGAGATTAAACATTCAGAGAACGGAACTGAGCGCGTATTTCAATGCCCCTGAGGCGCCCGGATGCGGTGGGAGCAAGTCTTTTTACGGCGTGCTAAATTGGCCTTTTTTACCGATTTGGCTCTGCTAAATTGCTGTTGAAACCCATGCGATCGGTACCTACCATTCACACGCTGCCTTTTTATGAACATAGAAGAGACGACGCATGCCGCTTTTAAAACAAGATCCTTTCCATCTCTGATCAATTTGCTAACAAAAATAAATGAGCACTTCTTCACGCGTTCACCTATCCTCCTCCACAAGCCATGTCTCTCGGGCAGTCATCCGACAGTCCAATCACTGCCGCTGGTTGATTGTTTGTGAAGGACCCGGCCGGTCCTCCTGATGGCCCGTATTTGCACAGCACTTGCCTCTGGTCATTGACAAACGATCGCAATCTCGGGGGACCGGGACCCTGGCTCTCCCTGGGTCGCCGGCGGCGGCCACCCTATCTCTTTAATCTGTCCGATTTGTAATTCAAATAGAGTCTAGTTAGGCGGCGGCGGCGACTGCCGTTCATTATGAGCCAATGACTTATGGCCGGCCCCGTATTATGAATCAGTAGTGCATTAACATGCGATTGTCGGTGCGACTGGCCCCTGTCCTCGGCTCGGCGGTAATCGGCCTACCTTTGATCATTACCAGATAGCGTTTGAATAATCAAAACTGTACTCTGGCGAGCGGACGAGGCGAATCGACAGTGGACCAGTCAGAATTAATGGCGAACTAGCAACAGCCAATTCGTCACGCCGGTCTCCGTGCTTTTGCCCGTAATTATTGGGTTCATGCTCCATGCGATTCGGGGTTATTACAGGCTGATTGAATTCAACTCATATAAATCGCTCGTATCGCAAGCTAATTATGTGCCTGTCAACTCCTTATTGCGATTAAAACACTTAACGGTGGATATCTATCACGGTAGTAAACCGCCAATGTCTCACGGAGAGATTAGCACTTCATCGGATTAATCGGAACGGGGTCCCGATTTAAAGACATTTTTGTTAACCCTTTCACTTAATGAACTTGTATATTATTTTAGAAAAAGAAGGTGTTATGTTGTGAATGTCCAGTTTATTTATTAACACTATTTGGAAACATTCATGAAAAAAATGAAGCTCACTCAAATGTCACATTTTTGCATTATTGGGAGATGAGCTGCAGCAATGCTCGTAAGATGGCATAATAGTGGCGTCGTGAGGAACACATGTTTTTCAAAACATTTGGTCGAATTAATTTATTTTGCCTTTGGACTAGCAACACTCTCCTCAGTTGTCAGCCCCATCAAACGGACAATTAAAGCACGACTTAATGTTTCGACTTGAAAGCTGATTTTCCCACAGTGCCTCTATGCTATACCGTAGCACAGGCGCTGTCTAATAATGTCGGGGCAGCAGAAGACTGATGATGGGACAGGTTTTATTGGAAGTTTTGGGGGTGCGCTGGCAGAAGGAAAGATCATTTATTAACGGGTAGTGCCGCCATCTCATGGCCAATAGGCCAATAGCACGGCCAAGTGATTAATCAAACTGCTATAGACGCCGACAGCATTGTCAAACTCTCATTGTAATTGTGTTAGAAAGTGGCGGAAGATTTCAGTCGGCCATACTTCTTTTGGCTGTGCGGTTAAAACTGCATAACATTTTACGTTTAAGCGCTTGCTCAATGCCATTGTGGCATTTTCTCCGACACTAAAATACCAATTTTTAAGACCATAAACGGTTGATGTGAGCTGTTTCATGCGAAAAGCTATCGCATGATCTCATGCAGGGCGCCGTGTTATTGTTACGAAGAACCAATTATATGCAATGAACAGGTATGCCAACCTGTTTCGTTCCGAATAGCGCCCTTCAGACCCGGAACATTTCGTGGTTTGTAATAATGCTTCAGCGGCCATGTCTCTAGGCTGATTTTCTTTATTTATTTAAATTGAAATTTGAAATGGGTAAACTTTATTTAGTGTGTCTTATGATGTTATATCAGCCATACATTTTTCTCTTTCAGTTGTACGAGATCGACGACAATCCGAAAAGAAAGGAGTTTCTGGACGAGCTGTTTCGCTTCATGCAGAATCGAGGTAAGACTTCTGAAGCTTTGAGCTTGTAATAATAGACTTGACACTATCAACACTATGCATGGGGATTCACTTCAAACCACCGATTTTCTTTCTGTCTTCCTTCCAGGCTGTCAAAACCAAGTTATCTCAAATCTCTAACCTTTCTCATTCTCCGTGCCTCTGATCACGTTTAAAGCCTATCCGTTGCTTGTGATATCCGAGTGCATGCTTCAAATGGCCAGCATATCGATGCCTCAAGATCCTACCTGGGTGGCGAGGAGTCACAACTGAGGCAGGTATGGAATAACGGTGACGAATGAACTCAGAAAGCACGGAACGCTCGGCTTGGGCTACGTAGGATCAGCAAAAGACATCACACAAACAGACGAACTTCCGCTTGCATGCAAATTGCCGTTGTACCCGACAGGTAACAGTATATTGTATTGTATTGTATTGTATTGTATTGTATTGTATTGTATTGTATTACCTTCATGGACAATCCACACGGGGCGTGGCGATTACAGTCCAGAGTCCGAGGTGAATGATAATCAAATACGAACGTTAGTATGACCCGTCCCATGATGACGACTACTACCGGCTCGCCTGTGCAGTGCGCAGTAACGCCGCCGCGCTGCATCGCAACACGTCACGCTTGTGACGATCGACAGCGTCACGGAAGCGCTACGGCAGTGTCACGGTAGCGTGGCAGCATTACGGTAGCATTACCTACGCCAGTGGTCCCGCCCTGGCCGCATTCCCGGTGAACCGGTGACCTGATGACCGAAGATCGGTTGTGTGTGATCAGTTAGCATGTCACGCGGGAATGCCTCTTCACCGGTCGTGTCGCCGCCGGCCCCCGGGCGCCCAGTGAATCGGTAATACCCTGGGAAACGGTCGCCGCCTTTGTCTCAGCTGCCCGGGCATGGAGATGGTGTTTGCGGCGCCAGTCTGGAGCCAGTAGCCGGCGCCCGTCGGCCCGCCCCATACCATACGACCCGGACAGCCTCGCGCTGTGATAGTGACAGTGGGTGGACGCATCGGACACACCGTCCTTTCGCGTTTCATTCCGTTTGATTGAGCTGCTGTAATCCGTGTGGGTAGGGCTGGGATCGGATTATTTCGGCGGGGGGCGTGCGGTGTCCGCGTTGCGGTGTGGATGGGGATTCGATAGGGGTGGACGGGACCCAGTCGGGTCGGGTGGGGGTTCGTAGCGGGGAGCCGGCACTATAAACAGCCGACTCGCCCGTGAGAACGACGACTGATGGGAATCAGACAGTGTCCAGATGGGGTGACTGACAGAGTCGGAAAGACGGGACGCGGCTAGTAGAGGTGCAAAATTCAGGTGCCGGAGTGCCAATGTACTTGTCATTCGACTCCCTGTGATGTCATGTTATTCTGCAGGTCATACCGGATTGAGTTGTTATGATAAACTTACGAGTCATGATGAACAAGAAAAACGTGGTCATGTTTTCAATTTTCATTCTCGTTTCGGGGATAGTAAATGATTTTAATGCCAATTCAGGCAGCACGAGCGTTGCATCATAATTCTTGGCTCAACAACTCATCATAAACTTGATCATACATTTGATCGTGATCAATGATCATGCCTTGCCGCTTAACTTTACAACTATGTAGCTGCAGGGAAGTCCTGTTTAGCAAGCTTTCATTCGAACAAGACTCGTTGGGCTGAGGGAGAACAGGACTGAGTGAGCAAAAGAAGGACGAGACGGACTGATGATAATGAGCTAAGGAGGATAAGACTGATGATTGAACACTTCTGACAGGACTGATGGGAGTGGACTGAGCGAAGGGACGACTGATGAAAATGGGCCGAGTTGAGGGAGGGAGGAACTAAAGTGAGCGTGCCTTAGGAGTTCAAACCTTGATGGGAGTGACTTAGGGAGAACAGGACTGACGGTATAGTGGACAAAGGGATGGGCTTAGTAAGGTGTCGATGAGTCCACCCTTTACCGGGTCCAAACACACCCCATTAATTATTCCACGGAGCTCTTTTACGTCCTCCGGATGGCGCCGAGCTGTATTTTATATCAATTATTTCCGCCGGTGTGCAGTTTTTGCCTCCTCTCCGCCCTGAACAATAATAACCACCTACCTGGTGAGAAAAACGGCCATTTATTTGGCGCATATGGTGCTGTGAGGGGACCGTGGACTGGTCAAACAAACACCATCCGATGACGGAAGGATTCGGGCACCAGGAGGCTCTTAGGATGCGCTCATCGGGTCACCCTTAGTTAGGCTTTTAGAGTGATGAAAATGTGATAGACAGCAATAATCCAGCCTGCTAACTGTTAGATATGCGAATTAGCGGCAGTCTGCTTTCTTTGGTTAGGCTGGCAGCCGTGCTTCACATGATCAGATAAAGCAGTATCCATGGTTTAGTCACCTGCAGAACACGTAGCCTGCGTGTAGTGTTTGTAGCGAATTTAAATGCCTCCAGTAAATACTTACCGAGATAAATTACCTGATTCCGGGGATCGACATCGATGTATTACCCGAGATTGGATTTATTGTTCACCTGTCGCGTCACACTTTACGGGTTTATTTAAAGTTCCTGTGGGACAAAACACCAACGAAACGACCGCCTGGAATGCCAGCAAACAATGGCGCATTGGCTATCAGCGCAGCGTTCCGGAATAAAACGGCAATTAAAACGGTCGAAAATCGGGAAGACGGCCGCCGCTGCCGGATAAAAACATTATCATAAATCGGCGTCGGCCGGCCGGCCACCCAGCGCCACGCAGCAGCTCCCGGCGGGAGCGGGCAGCGCCGCACACCTCCGCTGACGAACGGCCGAGTTTTTCCGCCGGCCGAAACAAGCCAGAGGAATGATCGGTATGTTCGGCTGCTGTGCTTTCCAGAGGAAGGGCTGCTGACTGACGAAAGAGCCGAAGTTCCGGACGAAAGGAAAGGCTCAGAAGCCATATATGCACTATGCAGGTTCATGCGATATCAGACAATACACCTGGTTTAGTGCTTCGTTTTGCTGCATTTTATCAGGAAGACGACACAGACGGATGATACTATAAATAAATGGCTTCAAAAATCTATTTCTCGGTTATTTTGGCAAGGACTCGAAAGATTAGTGCAATGGTGCAGCCCATTGCATGAATTTTATGTGTGGATTACAATGCATTTCAGCTCAGGCTACATAGTAACTAGCATAATCTGTACCCAGAAATGTGACAGGTGAACCGTCACCCCCCCCCCCCGTCTCGTTTTCCGTTTATGGCTGCGCGGTAGCTGCCGTCCCCGTGGGCCCGTTCTGGCTCGGTAGCACCACTGCTGTTTTACTCGTCATAAACCCACCTCTCAGCTGAACGTGCTCCAGTCCCCGTGGCACCCCTGGTCACCCTCTCACAGTCCCGTGCCACCGTCTCAGCGGCGCGCGGCGCGCCCGGCCCGGCCGCCAACAGCTGCTTCTTTGATTTCAAATGACAAACGAGGCAGATATTTTTGACGTCACTAGACAAAGCCGGTGCCATTGTGCGTCCGACCTCTGTTTGAATATCAAACCTGGTGTGTTCCGCTGGTAATCTGGCCGCAGATGGGGCCATATTTCACATCTGCGGCCCGCACAGCGGAACGATTCGGTCGGATTAGGGGGCGTCGTTTTTGCGGCCTACCTCACGCCGCTGGACTGAAATATGTAAACAGCAGCTGGACGCATGTCGGTGACCATCGCTGCGGCATCTCCGATCGCCGCCCCCGCCCCCCCCCCCCGCCCCCGCCCCCGCCCGCGGCGCGCGGCATCCACCCAAGACTGATATCGGGTCGACATCGAGCGTGCCATGCGAACAATGTCGGCAAAAAGCGGTGCCGATCGGTCGCTGCCGTCCGGCGCCGGCTGGACCCCTCGGCCGGCCTTTCAGCCGCCGCAGAGGTTTTTCTGCGCCGCGCGTGTCTCGGCGGCGGAACACAAAGGTGGCGCCGCACCGCGCCACGACCGTCCCCATGCGCCGCTATCGTCTCCACGATCGTGTCACAGGTGCCCCGAGAGCCAGTCCGCGTGCCAGAGTCATAACACGCGGTGACCGAATGGTAGAAGGGAGCCGCACAATGGAACAACTCGAGAGCGCGGCGGTCTGTTTGTTTTATTAGTGGTTTGTTGCAGGTGAATCATCAGATGATTTTGTGATGTCATTTATATGGTGTTTGCCTCTTCTTTACAAGCACCGTAACCTACAGGATGATGAGTCTGTCATCAAGGATGCATAAGCTGCATGAGTCGATGCTCGATGTGGCTTGTGTTTTATGTATTTTTCTTTTCTTTTCAGGCACACCGATCAACCGTCTTCCTATCATGGCGAAACAGGTGCTCGATCTATACGAGCTCTACAACTTGGTGGTAGCGCGTGGCGGCTTGGTAGAAGTCATCAACAAGAAACTGTGGCAGGAGATCATCAAAGGCCTAAAGTTGCCGTCCTCCATCACATCAGCTGCATTTACTCTCAGAACACAGTGAGTAAAATATATGTTTTTATTGGCTCATGTTCGTATTTGCTCGGCCATGGTTACTCAGTTCATAAAATTTGTATGCTAGCAAAAAAAAAAAACATTCAAATGTAAGAAATGGTTTATATCCCGCTATAAATCAAAATAAGAGAAAATTCTGCCGATGCTATAAACAGCAATGGGTGCATTATTTTCAAATCAGCATCGCATACCACCCTCTCATCACCAACCATCAAAATTTGTTTGCACGCCTATCAAATCCGAATCTCCGCCAGTCTGCCCGCTCCGCTCACCCCGGACCCGTTCGCTGAACTTCCGCGAAACGAGCGCGTTACGATACCCTGGAGCACGCCGTTACACCTCGTACGATTTGTTACACAATCGGCGTGCGGCCATTTCGGAGCCAGTGCCGGGCGTCGCGCACGCGAGTGGCAGATATTGGGGAGGCTGATGGGCGCCGGCGCACCCGCGAAGGGTCAGCGCTAGCCACCCGCGGCCGGCTCCATCATCGCGAGGCAGGCGGCTCCAGCGAGTAATTGAATCCAACTATCGATTGCAGGTAACGAGAGTGGATGATTTAGGGCCGATCGTCGGGATGAGGGGTTAATTGGTGCCACACGCCGGCTGGCCGCTCAGACCGTTCACGATCCAGGGGATGAGATGAGGGAGGATGTTTGGCCGTTTGGCGTAAGTACAAGTGAGAACAAAACAGGCCCTTACACGGCGTTCTGGATACAGCATTCCATCCACTGGTGCCACTGGTGCTGCAGGATCTTGTATGACATCACTATGACGTATAACATCGTTGACGGCGTGTCGATGCCGTCATAACTATACGACGTCAGTAGCGCCGTTGTCGGTGCTTCTTAGCCTGATTCCCGAGTTCCCTCATCACTGCTCACTGCAGGCCACTGAGATGCCCCTAGCACGCGCTGCGCATAATTACTCCCTTCTAGCAGGCCAGTCTGCGTATTTAACCGTGCATTATCCAACAATGCATTAGCACTGCCTACGGTGGCGTACCGAGTCTGGCGCGTCGGAGGGTTGAAGAGCGCCCCGAGAAGGGGCTGCTGAGGGGTGAGGCCCGCAGGCCAGCCGGCCAACAATTAGAGACCGGCATTAGCATCTTAATATCAGCTAATGTCAGACCGAGAAACGCGCCGGGACCGGACCGTTCGTGCTGATGGGGTCCGCCGTTCCCCGAAACTGAGCCGAACAGAGGCTGAGTGGTGCGGCTAATCGACAGCGTCTGGGGGAAGCTGGGCGTATGATTATACGGATAGCCGGAGTGCCGAGTTAGCTTGTTTAAAATGGTGAGATATGAGCCTTTGATACTTATTACGCAAATGCAGCGGCTGTTCGCCAGAAGACGGAGCGATGAGAGTTCATAAAGCGAGATTGATGACAGACATGCAGACCTGAGCTATTGCTGTGAATAAAAAGTGCAGATTACAATCAACTCTTCCCGTGATACCCTATCTCACTCAGTCACGCGAGCGTCAGACCAACTTAGCCAGTGCGCATCCGAGCTGCCTCAAAGATGCTACAATTTGTATGCAGAAGCTCCCAGCGGCAGTGCGTGTGTGTAAAGCAATTTCCGTCGTCCCTCTCGACGATTATTACGATATAACTCTACCGACTTTCAAGGCTGGGGCGAATAACGACGCTCTTCTTAACGCACTCTAGTGCTCTGTGCGCCGACACCACCCAATTTCACCGCTCTCTTCAGCAGGCCTTCGAACTCCGCGAGATGCGCCACGCCCAAGTTTGATCACATGCCGTAAAACGGCGCACGCACTCATCTCGCCCGCTGAATCGCGTCTGATTACAGCCCGCACGCACCATCGAGTCCGATTGCAGCGCGACTGCACCCCGATTGCAGGCTGATTACAGTCGGCCAGTGGCCTCGGCGGCCGGCCGGCCTCCGAGCCGACTCGAATTACACCGGGACAATGGCACCGTAATACCGGCGCCGCAGCCTCAGCCCGACAATTCCCGGATTCATATCAGTGAAGCGGGCGGCTAACGCGTCCGCCGCACGGCAGCGTCGGCCGCGGCTGGCGGTCGGGGCCCGCCGCCGCGGTCGGAGGCGCCTTCTCCGAACTCAGCCCGATTAATGACTCGGAGAAGGTGCTGCCGGCGGCGGCGACCGTGGATCGGCGGCTGATATCGCGCTTTATGACTCTCCGGCGCGGTGGAGAGGTAGCGGCGAAGGCGGCTAGGCGGTTGGGTCTTGGTCGACAGTCTTCCCGAAATCAACGGCATCACTCAATGGGCCATCGGGCTTATAGTTGCACCTGACCTTGTCTGTTTCCTGCATTGGTGGTATGGTAATTGTCCTGCCGACATAGTTAGATCTCACCATCCATGAACACCAAAGACGCAATAACTTACCAAAGCTACGTCCCAGCTTCTCGCGAACACATCGCGGGGGATCCCACCACAGTCATGCACCGCTGTCCGCAATCCTTGATGACGTCAACCACCATCCATGACGTCACGGTACGCTGCGATGTTCTGCGGACCTCCGTGCGGGCCCGCCCGGACGGAGGGCGGACGCGGCCGGCGTCGAGTGACGGCCGGACGCCGCCGGCGCCGCGCCCGACCCGTGATGCCTTCATCAGTGGAAGGACGTGGGTCGGACGAGCTGGCAGAAATGACCGGCCCGTGACCGGAGGCTGAATTTCGATTCGATAGGTGGGCGGGAGAGTAGGATAGGTGAAGCCAATATCGCGAGACGCGAAGAGAGAAGAGCTGTAGTACACGGGCCGAGTTCGACGTCTTTTAATACTTGCTCTGTTCAGCTTGTTCCATGACAAGCCTATACCTAAGAACTGCGTTTCCAGACACAAATATAATAACGTTTTCTCTTTTTTCAGGTACATGAAGTACCTGTACCCGCAGGAATGTCAGAAGGAGGGTCTGAGCAGCCCCTCGGAGCTACAGGCCGCCGTCGACGGCAACCGACGGGAAGGTCGACGCAGCAGCTACACCAACAACTCTTATGCCGACTTCGTGCAGCGCTCGCCGCTCCTCTCCGGGTGAGTGTCGTCAGGTCATAGAAGGGGAGGGGCTAAGCTAGGTCACGGATGGGGGACTTGTCAGGGAGAGCTATAAGGCAATGTCAGGGAGGGTGTGATAGGAACAATCACAGTATCGGCTCTTAATCGTAGTCCGGGGCAAGAGGGATGTTTCCATTATCGACAGTCGAGCGGAACTCTCAATTCAGGAACCACTAAGGTCAAAGGCCAATAAGTCGTGGTAGGCATCGCGACCTTTGGTGTGGGGGCCGCTGCAAATGTCTCTAGGTGCCACAGTTGCAGTGTTGGCCGAGGGTGGGGACCACTTACTTGGAAAGCCGCGCGCCTGATTTCTAGAATCATGTCAAAAGGTGATTAACATGTAATGAGACGGCCATGCGGTTAGTTCCTTGTTGAATACAGGCCATGAGTGTAATTGCGGAGTGTACCGTTTGACGCCAGCAGAAAACCGTCGAGTCATGGACGTTTCATTTTTTCGCAACAATTAGCAAAGTGCGCCACAATAATTAACCATTGTCATACCAAGCGGGATCATTTGCTCGACTCGAATGAAAATGAACGGTTACTGAATTCACATGCGTGAGAACACTACACGCCAATGCAGGAGCATCATGCTAATATATTTTGTCTTTCTTTGCAGACAAATGGCTCCGTCGTTCGGCCTCGGTAACGGGATGCCGATGCCGACATCGCTGCACCAGCAGGGTCTGTCTCCGCTGTCACTGGTCACCAGCCGGCCGGCCGCCCCCGGATCCAACGGACCCGCAGGACACCCCATGCCGCCCAGTGAGTATCCCGGATCCAAAAGACCCGCTGGACACCCCTGGATGCCCATTGGACCACCATGCTGGTGTGCCGTGGAAATTGGCTCTTGTGACTATTTGAATGATAGGAAAGCGTCAATCTTTGATTTAGTGCTGGAGTCCTGCATGTGAATGACCAAATTTCTACGGCGAAGTTTTTTGATGGTGGCGAAATTATTATTTAGATGTGGGATCTTTTGCAATTATGATCGACGCTAATAACTAAAACTCCGCCAATTATCGATCACCCCTTCAAAGACAGACGCATAAATTTCCCCCAGCCCGGCCGGGAACCGTCAGTGCGCATATTAACCGAGCGCCATCGGGCTTTTCTGCGCCACTCGGCACGCCCGGGGCAGCGGTTCTTCGGCCGCCGGATGTTCGGGTAGACCGAATGCTGTTCTGTTTATCAATGGCAGGGTGGCCTTGAACGGGGCCCATCCCGCTCCAAACTGATGCGGCCGTCCTAGCAATTATGAGCGATTAACTACCAGGTGGTGTACTGGTCCGTGGACACAGAGCAAACCGCAGCGTGTTGGTGGCGTTAGCACATAGAGCGACTAAAAACCATGTTCATCAGGCCTGTCGAAAGGAAACCAAGCGGGTATTGGTAGCATTCTCACAGCCTATTGATTTGTTGGCCCTTCTGTCCTCGCTTTATCATTCCTTTATCAATGCAGTGAAGGTGACGCAAGTCTTCTTCCTGTAGAAATGTGTACAGAAACCTTTTTGAAACTCTGGAGCGTCTTCCCGTGACCCTTCACACAGGCAAATGCCACCCTACCTACCCTCTTCATCCAGGAGGCGTCAATCGTCATCCAATCTCGGCACACCTCCCTCTCTGCCCGAAGGACCGCCGGCGAGCGGCTATCATGTCAACATCATCATCGTATATTCATTATTCGGGGGTGCCGGCGGCGCGGCGGGCCGGCGGGCGGCGTCCAGTAATGGCGGCCATTATGTCGATCCTCGGGCGTGCGGCCCTCCGTAATCGGCCATTATCGAATCAATCCCCGATCCGACATCTGGCCCGAACCCCGGGCACAAACAGAATAATTAAACGACTATTTTAAAGACATCGCGGCGCCGGCCGCGGCCACAGCGCGGTTTGGTAGGGGATGGAATGGAAAGATGAAGAGGCGAGGGGTTTGGACGTGAGGCGATTATCTGACCGCGAGAGGACCGGGCCGGCGCGGGCAATGCTCGAGGCGGGCTGATCGCGCGGTCATGCGCATATCAAGTATGATTACTGACTGTTTATCGTCAAGGTGTTTATGGTCTCTAGGAGAGCAGTTCACTCCCATTTATTGGTATTCCTAATATCACGAGATGAGGGGAATAACTTCACAAGAAGCGAGCATCATAGGTACTGCGTACCAATGAACAATGCATCGTATTACATAAAGGGTGTTTGTATATCATATTATGCTTGTAATATTTTACGGTCTCTCTGCTCTTCTGCCTCTGAATGTACTCATCATCAGTTACTGCTCAAATAAAAGTTCAATAGCGCAATTCGAAAATACAGTCCTGCAAAGCGGTGCACCGTGCACCCATCACCCTCCATATTGCTCATAAAGGACCAGCGGGATTTCAAGTTAGTCATTTCCGACAGGATAGTTCAGCACTCGGCGGGAGGGCCCGTACGTGGATGGGTGCCGCCGCCGCCCGCCCATAACGCTAGTTAACGATGATAAATCGACCGAATGTAACTTATATTTGCATATAATCGCCGCCGCCGTTCAGGGCCGATGCAGGCCGGAATGAATGATCAATAATTGGCGCGCCGCCAACAATGCAGCTCGCCGGCGACCGATCAAGGCCAGGTGATTCATGGTCCGGAAACCCCGGCTCCGGTCCGGGCCTCCCGCACTGCGCTCGTACGCGCGCCTGAATTCGCTGCGCCCGGCCCTCGGCCCAGGCCTCCCGCACTGCGCTCGTACAGTAGGTCTACTAAAAAAGTCCCCCGCTCCAGAGGCGGCCGGCCGGCCGAACCCCCGGATTCCAGCCCCGACTCTATTGCGCACGCGCAGGCCGCGGCAGTGACACGGGTCAGGTCGCGGCGCCCGGCGAGTGGGTCAGTTGGCGGCGGCCGGCCGTGGGGTGAGGACGCCGTGCGTGGGGCGCAGAGATGCCGCAGTGCAGAGGAGGGGAAGACAGTGACTCTGCACGATGCCGGAAATGATGCCTTTGTGATCTAAATTAAACACCTGCACTGCAGTGCATATCCTCCCTTGCCCCATTCCTATTATATCATAATCCTTCAATAATCCGTAATGACCATTCAACGCAAGCAAGCAAACAAAACAACCCGTTTAGCGGCGACATCATCTCGGATAAAAAAGCGACAGTGATGATTAGAATTGACTTAGCGCGAGGGCAAATCGTGGGGTATATATGTATCATATGCCGAGTATTTTATTCCCATCTAGCAAATTAAGATTGGGGATCTTGTCCAACAAGTCAGCGGCCGTTCTAGACACAGATAAATGCTTTGTTTTAGGTCGCATCATTATCTGCAATAATTCGAAACGAGGTTTAACCCTCGCCGGCCGAGAAGAGGGGATGGATGCCGCCACCATGTATTTTTTTTTGCGGTAGCTCAAAGCACACTGATGATAGAAGGCTGACATTTCATATGCCTTACATTTGATTCAAGCCGGATCATTTGAAATCAACCACGTTTTCATGTCAGGTCACTTAACTATGACGTCTTAAGTAAACCTCTGCAGACTGCACGGTTGTCGGTTATAAAATGATGCCAATCCGTAACGCACTTAGTGTCATATAAGCATAATGGGAAAATATGGAAACTGTTAATTTGGCGTCGGAAATGACCTAAAAACTATACCTCAAGCACATGAAATCGTGACTTCATACATTCTTGGCAAGGTTTAATGCTTTACTTTTGCATTGTTCACCTTGCGTGACGGAGTGCTCGTCAATAGGAGTGCTTCGTCAATAACTCCCGATCAAAATGAGCTAGCCAGTCGGGACAGCCATCAATGGACTCTGCAAGACTTGCCGAATCAAATGTTATGCAACATGTCCTCCTTTCAACAGCTTCGTGACCTGTGTTGCCCTAACATGTCATTGACCTAAACATCCTAAGTTGCTTCACCTAAGCAAAAAAGCATATAAATCGACGCGTCTGAGAACAGAAAACACGATTGTATCGAAATGACGATAATGCGACCATTTTTGGCGAAGTTATTCACCAAAAACCGATCCAATGCCTTGGGGCCCTTGACCTGCCCTAAGAGGTCACTGATATTTTAAAATGGGATAACAGTCGCTGCGTCACGTAACGACGCAAGCGCTCGTTTTTTTCCCCGCGAGGCTCTAGCAGTTAGCTCAATTATAGGAGCTAAACATGGGGTTGGGGAATCGCTCCCTTCTCACTCACTATTTGGCCGGGATAGTGTTTGCAATTATTGTTAAAATCTAACATTTTAAGATTTCAAATGACCCATTTTTTTCCCGCCCAAGTCAAGTCATTCAAGGTCATAGCACCAGGTCACGTTAAGTGACCTTACCTCAAGGAAAGTTCCTGTGCTCATCAGTCATCATATCTAAATACATCGACTAACCGATCGCTTTAGAACCTTCAGCGATTTCAATGGGCAACAGTATATGTATTTGAAACGTTTTTTTTTTTTTGCAAGTTTGACATTGCTGACAGAAAGGTCGGGTCAATTTTGAGATCGCTGAAGTCAATGGGAGAAAGTTGAACTGCGCTTTTTTTTGGACGGAACGCATAATAAACACCCTGAAAACAGGTGGTGCCTGATGAGATGCAAAAATGAATGATAAAATTGTTTGTTTTGTTGGGAGCCATCTTTTTCGGTCTGAGAAGTCCCTTGCAGAGCTCTATGACATAACTATGCTCTGGTGTAGTAATTTGGTTGTGCGAGCCAGCGACAGTGATTTGCGGAAGCGTGACTGTTCCCGTGGGACGATTGCCCTGTCGCGGGGGCGGTCCAGCCGTCTCCCCAACGGTCACCCGAAGAGGATTATGTGTCCTGGAATGGAACCGACATCAACTACAGGTTGGCTGGTGGGGTGACCTCCAGTCCAGAGAGGGAACCATGAAGGGGGCGATGCGGATTGGTTTTTCCTGAGGATAGCGAGGACGGAAGGAATCTAGCACCCTTGACCCCGAGCAACTTTTAAAGGGGGAAAAGGGGAATTTCCCCCCTTCGAAAATTCCGCTCCCCTTTCAAATTGTGCGTGAACGGCTAGGGAGGGAAGGGGGAATTTCCCCCTTTCAAATTCATTTTTGAGCCCATTTTCAATCAATTCGCTACTCAGATTCTATAATCATCGTTGATCAGACTCTAGTCATCAATCAACGTTGCTGGCGCTTAGATCATTTTCAATTTGAGGTTCCATCCAACCATTTTACGTTCAGTGTAGCGGGAACTACAGATTTGACCCGATACTGATCGGATGGTCGGTGGGACCGTCTCTTGTCTTGTCTCTTCCGTCTCTTCGAAATCACTGACATATCGCTACAGGCGTCGGCGTAGAAACTGGCGGGGGACGGGGGTCATGACCTCTAACATTAACACGCATAACACGCTGCGAACCAGGGGTCTTCCTTCGAACCAGGGTCCTTCAATCGGTCTTGGCCTAGCAAAAATAGTCACGTGTTAACCTCTCTCTATTTAGAAAGGCGCTAATTGATGTTTGGCCAGGGTAATAGGTTGATACTACTGATTGACATTTGCAAGGGCGCAGTCAAGTTGGGATCTCCCCCGCCCTTTACCGCCAAGGTTACCTACGTATATTTTTTTAGCTAATTTATTTTTTGGCAACCTAACAATTTAAGTGGCCAGAATCCGGGGAGAGAGTAGGATTTGGGGGTAGGTAAGGTTCTGCAGGTGCCATCCTAACAAAAACCTTATGGCATTGGGCCCCCTTTCAGATGCCCCTGGATCCGCCCTTGCCCCGAACTTAATTCTCCCTCTCGACTTTTCTTATAAAAGTAACCCTAGACTTGACCCTTCCTTATACTAAATGTATCTCAGGCTGTTAAATCTCCTAAGCGTTTTTTTCTCGACATCGTTAAGGTGTCATTAATAAAAATATGAAATCCGGGAGGAGAAATTAAATATAGAAATTGTGGCCAACAGAACATTATCAGTTGCGTTCAACATACTCGTAAGCATGATCACACACCCAGCTTACACATGAGCCATGTAACAAATATTTTGATAGACATGCTTAAGTTATGAAATCATCTCAAGTGTTTGCAAAGTTCCACGATACGGATCTAATATCCTGCTATGCATCATGACCATTTCTGGTCAGGTCATGTCTTTGAACAAAGGCCAAATTCTTCAAATTACCTTTAAAGATCAACTTTTGATTCATTCGAAGCGTTTTGATAAGAGGAACACGAGGCTGGTAAAATTAATTTCATGTGCAAGTTTAGCTTAAAACTTTTAGTGTTTGTGGAAAAGCAATTGGTTTTCTCATAATACCGATGGTGGCAGACGGTAGTTGCTGTTATTTACGTGCTAAGCCGTTGACCTTAATTAAATCTGACAATATTATTCAGACATAGCGGTAAGCGAGCTGCTTGTTGTGTTAGGTTAGGCTCTTTCGGTCGATTTCAGAGTGGGAAGGATGACAGGAATTAGGGGGAGACAGGGGGCTTGGGCGGGAGTTCTGGGCCTCATGCTCCGCTGGGGCCGAGCCCATCACGTGGGTTGGATTGCCCTGACACATGGATAGCCCTGGGCGATGTTTCACGGCCCCGCGCTGCAGCACGCTGCGCTGCGCTGCCATGCATTGTTGCGGCGGTTGATATGAATTCGGCTCCACGCTAGCGTTACGAGCTTCCGAGTCTGTTGTTTCCATGGAAATTGGAAACCCAATGCACCGGTGCGCGCAACGCACCCTGTCCAAGCAAAATTTTACCATCGATGACCTCTGGTGACATGATCTTTTGCTCTGACCTGATTTAAAATTGGCTGAAGTATTTTTTTCTGCTTTTTGCTACTTTTGACGCTACTTCGAATACCACTTAAATGCCCAAAGCTGAGTTATAAGAATGATGCTCAATCCCCAGTTCCCCTCCAACAGGGCGTGAGAGTCTAGGCATTCCTGTGGGGCACGGGCTAACAATGACTATCTCAAAATCATTGTGGCCATGAACATCCACTGCCATTCTTTAACACCGGTTTCGCTGCGCTGAGCGGTGGCCGTCCCGTTTGAATTGGATTCTACGGCTGGCTGGCGGAAAGCGTTACCGGCCGCCCGTCCACCGCCCGCGGGCCGGACCGAGCGGTCCCGCTGACCCTACCTGACCTGAGCCCGGCGCGATATGGGACGGGCAGACGGGGGTTCGGCTCAGCGAATGCAGCGCCCACTGGTGCTGGGGACTTTTTTAATAGACCTACTGTACGCGCGCCCGTGTCCGTTACGCCTGCCACAAGGTCCAGCTCCGGTTCTGGGCCTCTGCCCTGCGCTCGTAGGTATTTAGGTACAGTCCACAGCAGAAGTAATGTGGGGTTTCAGTCATGGGTATGTTCTGCTTCTGAAGCTTAGGAACGATTAACCAGACTACAATGAAACTTTGAATGTAGCTTATATGTATCGTCACCCTTGCAGCTGCAATTTTAGCTATTGACATCTTCTTTTCGATCACTCCGCATTAAACAATCGCCAGTCAAAGCCAACCGTTGAGATTGATAAAACCCTACATTACCTCTCTCTCTCTCTCTCTCTCTCTCTCTCTCTCTCTTTAGCGGTGGGCTGTACCTACGCTTCAGACCTCTTCACCTTGCCTGGCCCGCGGGATGATAGCGTCCTGTGTCAGACAGTCCTCTGCGTCCTGTGTGTAACCACGCTCTCCGCTCCGCAGGCTCGCCGTTCCTGCCGGCAATGGGTGGTCCGGTGATGCCATCAGCCAACGATACGCTGATGACGCTCTGGAGCCTCTACAACCGCCAGCAGCAGCAGCAACAGCCGCCCTCGCCGCCCGGCCGCCGCCCCGAACCGCCCCCACCAGCGGCGCCGCAGAGCGAGGCGCTCAACCTGGGCGTCCGACGGGAAATGGCCAGGTACGTGGATTCTCTTCTTCTGCTGACTCTTTTCTCCTACTTGTTTTCTACTGGCTCCCTCCTGTACGTCGTCTCAATAATGACGATTTTCGATGTTTCTCACTTGATCTTGTTTCCCCTATATTGCAGTTTTATAAAAAAGCAACAGTAAGTCAAGCTGACCTTTGCGTTCCTTTGTCCTTCTCCAGGCAGGAGCGGGAGAGGGAGCAGCAGGAGCGAGAGCGGGAGCAGCTGGAGCGGGACAGGAGCCGGGAGCTGGAGCTGCACAGGGAGCGGGAGCTGGAGCTGGAGAGAGAGCGGGAGAGGGAGATGAAGCGCGAGATGCCCGAGAACATGTCGCCGCCCAACAAACGGGCAAAGTCCGAGGAGGGCGACAACAAAATGGAGTCGATGCCGCACACCAAAATGAGCATATCCTCGAAAGGTAGGTAAAACTTGTGTACTCAATTAGCCAAACGTTGGACATGTTGCATTCTTTCGCAGGTTCGCTTGCCCGTCATACCCTACAAGTACATTGTATCTGAGATGTCTAAATAAATGCAATTTTCACCGCTCTTATTTTCTTTCTTTGCTGCATTTTTTGCAGCATATAGTGGCATAAACACCGCTTTCTCCCTATTTCAGCTGACGGCAGTCTCGTCCTGAGCATGGAGCTCAATGGCGTCGTGTACCAGGGCATTCTGTTCGCGCAGCCCAGCCCAGGCCGCTGATCTCCAGCCCTGCCGCCATCTCGAGCTTCTCAAACAAGTACTAGTGTGACGTGTCGCCACTAGATGGCACCACTGGATTTCGAGCCGCGGGCTAATCGATCTCGTAGTCACGGCGTCGAACTCGCGTGCCCTGGCCGGCCGGCAGCGGTGGCTCTCGCGGATGAAGTGCTGGCATACTCACCAGTAACCTTGGACCAGCGTGTCCTTGACCGTGGGTCAACGTGTCCTTGACCTTAGATCAGCGACTGGGTGACCTCGTACCAACACCACGAGAAGATGTCTGTTGTCCGTGTTGTTGAATGTCTGTCAGCTAGTGGCTCTCTCCTATGTAAATAATCAGTTGTTGTATGGAGCTTCACCAGCTGTAGCGACGGCGGCAGACAGTGCAATGTGTACCATAAGCTAGCAGATCCTGTATACGAATGTTTGGGGGCTTCTATGTCACTTACGTATTGCTGATAACTTTGGCGAATATTTTGACTTTGATCTTTACAGATGTTCTCAGGGCGAGGTAATTCCAACATTTTAATAGAACTGTGATTATTTAAATATTGCATTGTTTCAGACATTTTTTATTTATTTAAATGATGTTCAGTGCTTCAATGAATTGAGGCATGAACGCCAAAACGCCTAATTTTTTAACCAGCGCAAGAGTTTGGAACTGTCAAGCATACCATAACATTTTCAATGTTTTGGCTTACTTCTTCACCTTATTTCATCATTGCGACAATTGATGAAAGCAGGACCTTGCTCGTCTGACTGATGAGCAAGGCGTGTTTAAGGTACTGCTGTTCATGTAGCTTCTTGTACTTAACAGATGTAAGTACGTTCCACGAGCCCCTGTACAAAGTCTTACCTCAGAGTGTAAGATCAGGATCGTTCCTATTTAGGCGTTATGGGGGAAATTGTGATGATGTGGGCGTAGAAATATTACATGTGTTCTAGCATGATATGTAAACTCTGTCACTTCAAATTATCGGCAGTATCCCGTGAATGACGATGCTGCCGTAATCTGTATGAATATTGTATTCATTTACTCTGTTTCCTGTATTTATTCTCCTTTGGTCTGGTGCCTTTGCCTGACTAAATAGATGTACCGCGTCCTTGTTGCGTATGTCTCCCGGGAACTTCCACATGGTTTTGATTGTATCACTTCTCTGTGTCGTTATGGAGACGGGGGTCTGTTTCGGGGTATGGGCGCCACCCGTTGTTCGGTGTACCCTGCTATTGAAATGTGCGTGCGTGAGTGCACGTGCAGCGTGTGTATCCGCAGCCAAATATCAGTGGCACGACAGGACGGCAGGGGACCCCTGAGGAAGTGTCTATGGGAGCAGCGCTTAGCGGCTCCCGCTCGACTGACCCGTGTACTCCCGTACTCGCGTATATGTGTGTGTTCAGTGGGAATCCAACGGCAGTCTGGAAAATCGTCGGCAGTGACCTATTGTCGGCTCTGCGCTGTCGCAGATCCGATAAAGACCCCACTGTTCCAATATGCTGCATGCCAAAGTCACTAATAAACGTGTTCAAATAGAAAATTTGTTTCCAACTGATAAATACACGCAAACGTCACGCTCATGCTATTGATCTTCGCAACAGACACCGCACCTTGTGAAGTTTCATACAGGAACTGATTACTGAAGCGGGGATTGGAGGGTTGCGCTCCTAATTCAGGTTATGCCGCATTTTTCGAAAAACACTGTTTGGGGGGGGGGGGTGTATTGAAAGTGGATTTTTGCATTTGGCAAGAAAATGTCATCCTGAGCCTTGTCTGAGCCTTCTAACACATGTAGGTAGGGGAGAGTGGGGTAATTTGGCCGGTGGTGTAAATTGGCCGCCCCCACCTGTACGAAAGCTGATAAAAGTGAATGAAATAACTTTAGTCTCTATTCATTTGTCATCGGCAGAACTAACTCGAGAACAAATGTCAAAACTTTCCCCCTATTAGTTTTATTCAAAATTAATAAAAGGTGAATTACGTTAGAAAATGGTAACTTTTACTTCCGTTTAAAAATTTGTATAACATGTAGTATTTGGGCTGTAAACGAATTCAAACATTATAGCGCCATTTTTGAGGGTGTTCAGCGGTTCCAAGAGCAATTTCATCTAGTTCTGTACAGCCATGACGACTTTATAGACAAAAATTTTCAGAATGGCAACGTGGGGTTATTTGGCCGGGACTAGCGGGGCAACTTGGCCGGTGCGCTCAGAGTCACTATGCTGGGACGGCCGTGTTGTCATGGTCAATTATACCTTAAAGGACATAATTCATGACTAACTTTGACTACCTTGATGCCATACTTCCTATTGGACAGCTGTAAGGGCATGTGACGTCATGAAAGGTTACCTAACGCTTTTTTGCTAATAAAAACTTACAGAAAAAAGATACAGCCGCGCAAATGGTCTCATTGTGTTCAGCTCGTCAAGGCGCATCGAATGATATGCATGATGACCTTGAACTCACGTAACCTTGAGGTCAAGCGACCTGAGGTAACGTGACCTGAAGCCAACCTTGACCTTGACCTTGACCTTGACTTCTCGAGGTCAACACATACATGTTTCGATGCGGAATGACGAGAGAATTACGATGGTACTTTTAGTTTTGGCCTAACTTGATTACTTCAAAAGTTATTCGTAAAAAACTGTCATCGCATCTAGAGCCGCTATTTTGACTATTTTCGACCCCTGTGACGGCTGAGTCAACCTCCAAAATACTTCAAATGCGTCGTAGGACACGCGTCATTGCTGAATGTGAAGCTGACTCGCCTATAACAAAAATCATGGCCTCAAACTAACACCGGCCAAATTGCCCCACACCCCCGGCCAAATAACCCTGCTAGTGGGGCAATTTGGCCGCTTTGCAGACCTTTGTAATACGCCTTAATTTCAATATAAGTAGTTCCTCAATCATTTCAAGTTTACTGTCCAAGAAGGTAAAATGTATGCCACACCTGTCAGCGTTGAGGAAATGCAGAAATGTGTTGTCGATTTTTAGTTACATCGTTTTCTAAAAAAAGCGGCCAAATTACCCCACTCTCCCCTACTGCCTAAAGAGAATTACGCATATGCTGAAGTTTTTTTTTGTACTAATTTTTGCTTAGATAATCATTATTGTCGCGCATCATTAATGCTCAAAATTTCCTCACTGACATTCAGTAGCGGCGGATCATCTTCAATTAAGGGGGGGGGGGGGGCACTGCCGACTTTTGGTTCCATTCTTTCCATGCAACGCCTATAGGGCTAATGTTAAAATGCCAAAATCAAAGGGGGGCACGGTGCCCCGGTGCCCTCCCCGTTCCGCTGCCTATGCTGACATTTTTAAATGTTCAGCATAGACAGCAATTCAGCATTTAAAAAAATGTTTTTACCGTAATTCCAGCTGCCCCTTCCTTGACAACGTCAAAGCAGAGATACACGAAGTCCTTCTGGATGCGAGCGTATGACGGTTTTAAGGTTTCTGTTGGAGCCGGTACCAGGCATTTCTAGGAGCTCCTGCGTCCGCATAAGCGTACGTCACAGCACCAATGCAACGGTTCGACATACCCTTTGGCGTATTTCTTTGGCAGAGACAAAATGGCAAAACAATGATAGAAGCCTAGTTTTTAAAATAAAATTTAAAAAAAATAAAATAAAATGCGTTAAAAGTTTAAATTTAATGTGTACTGTGTTTGAAATCTTGTCAAATATGTCTATCTACTACTAAATACCTATTGGAGAATTATTCAGGCATTCGAAAAAATACGTTGCAGCATTGCAAATATGACACTTTATGTAAAATTTGCTTTCCGCATGACTCTTAGCGATTTAATGGCTCCGTAGAAGTCATAGCAATTAAAAAAATATCCCGATAAAACTGTTAAAGTATTCGCTATAAATAGCTCTATGGTGTGACTTGGCCGGATGACAGAGACAAAGACTGAGTCTGAGGTCGCGGGGAGGCCACTGTCGAAGAATCACTACAGGAATAGTGCGGAGCGATGGATGGTCTGATGGTTGCCAGATTAGCGAGACGATGGATCGACCAATCGTTGTCGGATTAGCGCGTGACGACGTACCGCGCACGCTCCTTTGTCAGTGATCGACGCCGGCGACGGCCGACGGACGCCGACGCTCGACAGGTGATTGTCGATGGTACCTCCGAAGGAGAAATCGCCGGTTCCGTCACAAAAACTAGGCCAAAGATTTCTGTACACCAGAGCTCAGGATTCCAGGACAAAAAGTCAAAAGACAAAATGTCAAAAGACAAAAAGTCAAATGCAAAAAGTCAAAATGGATAAAAGTCAAATGGAAAAAAGTCAAATGGATAAAAGTCAAAACGGATAAAAGTCAAAAGACAAAAAGTCAAATGGCAAAAAGTCAAAACGTCCAAAAGTCAAAAATGCAAAAAGTCAAATGGCAAAAAGTCAAAATGGCGAAAAGTCAAAAACGCAAAAAGTCAAAAGCAAAAAGTCAAATGGCGAAAAGTCAAAATGACAAAAAGTCAAAGACGCAAAAAGTCAAAAGCAAAAAGTCAAATGGCAAAAAGTCAAAATGGCGAAAAGTCAAAAACGAAAAAAGTCAAAAGCAAAAAAGTCAAATGGCAAAAAGTCAAAATGGCGAAAAGTCAAAAACGCAAAAAGTCAAAAGCAAAAAGTCAAATGGCAAAAAGTCAAAATGTCCAAAAGTCAAAAATGCAAAAAGTCAAAAAGACAAAAAGTGAAAAAAACGGCAAAAAAGTCAAAATAATAAAAATCAAATGGAAAAAGTCAAATAATCGGTCCAGCCGTTGTGCGGTTATTGAGGATAATAGTTTTCGGGTGTGTGCAAAGTACCCCAAGTTTAGCACGCGCCACGTGCCAAGATCGACACTCAGACAACATGGTGTCCATGCCATACAACTTTTACATCCAAGTGGTATTCAGCAAAGAAGACCGCTTGTCGATGCGGCATGCGGTTCTTGAGTTATAAGGGTTTGAAGAGCGTGATGGGGTCGTGTCGGGTCGGGTCGTGTCGGGCCGGGTCGCGCATACTCAGATTTTTGCCTTAAACACGAAAGAACTCGCTCGCTCGCTGCGCTCGCTCGCTCGTAATTAACCCTATGGCGTTGCATGGAAAGAAATGAGTTCAAACTGCCTCGAGCCCCTCCAACATTGAGAAAGTTCCAGCGCCAGTGCTCCCACATGTAATGATAACCTGTGAATCATTTTCATTTTATTACTTAAAGGGACTATCCCACCTTCTAAAATGTTGTTAAAACCAGTTAAATTGTGCCCGACTTTATAGATTGGATGACCAGGAACACGGTTCTGGCATTTATTTTTCATTTAACATCTTAGGCTTCCCATATTCCAAAAACAAACTTTCAAGTATGTGACGTCACAGCCCAAAATTACCTCCTTCCCCAGGCCACATTACTGTCATAAAGCTGATTCTTTTTACTCTGTAGGCACCACAACAAAGTTCAGACCAAGTTTTAAGCGATTTTTCAACGAACAAACCCATTTAAATTAGAATGACTAAACGAGGTGACGTCACACTAACGGTCGCTCCATGTTGAAGATAGGGCCTTGTACAAGGCCCATTTTCAAATGAAGGGAACAAATTTCTTCAACACCAAGAGGCCGCGGGGGTTGCAACCTAGATAGATAGTGGTTTCTGAACCTCGCCGCAAACTTGGCTATCTCAACTCAAACCCCATGTTAAAGGTGGGATAGTCCCTTTAATGGATTCGTTCATTAAAATATGTTCATTTCTTTTAACCAAATTTCTATAAACCCAGCGGGTTGGATGCTGGACTAGTCAGCGATGACCGTACAGAGACCAGAAAGCGTGAGTGGACGGAGGGGACCGCGTCCAGTCTATCGGGCACGTTTAAACTTTCAGATAAAACTTTGCCATAGCACTGGAATTGCACGATGGGGCAGTGGTGACCCGGGAACGTTTGAAAAGTTGATGGGGTAGGTTGAAAGTTGAGGGGACAAAAATTGCAACTCAAAATTTTGAAATTATCTCGTCTTTTGTATTTTTTACTTTAAGTCCATTGACGTCATTTAAGCGTTAATCACATGGTATTTTTTTCATTTTGAGGTTTTGGCTTTTCACCAGGGCCTCCTCTCAGGGGCGACACTTTCCGAAAATTATTGGTAGGGCTCTAATGTAAATTTTTTATTTTATACTTTTTTCATTTTTTGACTTTTTGTCTTTTGACTTTTACCCGTTTTGACTTTTTGCTTTTGACTTTTTGTCTTTTCACTTAATTCCGTTTTGACTTTTTTGTCTTTTGACTTTTACTCGTTTTGACTTTTTGTCTTTTGACTTTTTTCCGTTTTGACTTTTATCCTTTTGACTTTTTGCATTTTTGACTTTAATGTCTTTTGACTTTTACACGTTTTGACTTTTTGCTTTTAACTTTTTGTCTTTTGACTTTTTTCCGTTTGACTTTTATCCTTTTGACTTTTTCATTTTTGACTTTTTGCATTTTTGACTTTTTGTCATTTGACTTTTTGCGTTTTTGACTTTTGAACATTTTGACTTTTTGCTTTTGGCTTTTATCCGTTTT